CACATGTGGTTTGCACATAGGTGGCCACAATATGAAGTTGGGAATCTGCACTTGTATTACCTCTTAATCCCTGGAGACCATCCAGACCATTTTATGCTGAATGCAAATGTTCTGGCACAGTCAGTGCCAGTCAGTGGTAATTTTCCAAAATCGAACTGACCATCCTGGTGGTATTCCAAGCTTCGCTCCGTGCTTGACCAAAAACCACTGGCTTGGATCAAAGAGGCTGTTGGAAATCTGCTTAAAGCTCTTGGTGTGAGGGAACAAAAGCATATTGCTATTAGCCCCCCGGCCCCACTTGAGCAGCCCTGCTCAGTTATGTCATGCAAAGTGTATGAACTGTATGAATTGAAATAGGAAAAACTGATAAAACCAACTGAGTACTGAAGTACCGTAGGCTCATAATGCTGAGGTGGGTTTAGATAATCTGCCAATTGCAAAAGGGGTGAACAAACCCATGATGAGTCCTCTGGATTAACACTGTAAACGTTTCAAAGTCCTCAAACCTAAACATGATGCTTTCACACTTTATAGCTTGGGAGACATCTACCAACTGGTTTCAAATGTGGAGGTGACATTTTAATGCTATAAAACGATTTTTGGTGGAGAATTGCTGCTGTAAATTCCTGTCAATCATGTCTCAAAATGTCAAATCAGAGTATTATAAACTTCTGTGCAGTGATTTGGAGTACGCAAAGCATTTAAACCTATTACTCCAACTGGAGCTCCTAAACTGCATTTCATGTCCCATTAGTAACTATAAACCGTTAACTAATTAATAACTTTATTCTAATAACTTATAAATATAAATGTACGGTAATGATGATCTATCCAGTGCGTTTGGAAAAAAACACGTCTAGCTACTGATTGCGGGAATACAGTGGCCCCTCCCCCTCTCGCCTCGTGCCTGGTGTGCAGTAACATTTCCTTTCTTTGTCATTTAAAACATCACTGTATTTTACACCAATCACTCGTATTTATTATCCATGTAATGTGTGATTAAGTTACACATCAAGAAGGGACAGGTGTGACAGCAAGTCTCAAAATCATCAGTAAATGTATTTCATGAAACAAAGATGTTGAAGGGTCCTTGTTTTAATTACTGCATAAGAAAGTACTTGCCTCATTTGAATGAAAATGAAAAATGAAAATTGTACTTCAAAGTCCATGTTTATTGAGCAACAGTATTGCCTCCTCGGTTGTTTGTATCCTTCATGGGGATTAGAGATTACAATAATAGTTAAGTATACCTCTAAGAGAAAAAGACAATCCAGTACCCGGTGCCGGCCATATTTCTAGAGGGAAGAAAATAATAACTTCTACTCCCACTTGAAGGTTATGTTTCTGACCTTCTTATGTAGGCCTATTTATTCAAATGATTGTTCAACATGTCAGAAATAAATATAGAAAACTTTTTGGAAAAAAGGCAAAAAAAAGTGTAAAACTCCAGATCGCTTTAAAATATACACAGTAACTGTGTGATAACAAAACCTTGTTTACCACAACAAGGGATCCGCAGAGTGATATTTTAATTATGTTGATACCAAATCTTGCTCCCAGGTTCGCCGATAAATCAAATATCACAAACGAAAGGTTCAGCAGGTAAAAAGCGTGCTCAATCCCGTAGTGGACATTGGCATGGCAACCGGCTTGTACCTCACGGACCCCAGAGGAGAGAAGAGCAGTATGACTAATGTTAGTTTACCGAGCATCAGCATCCAGCAGCAACAGTGGACTGTGGTGCTGAGCCGCTGCCCGCTGAGACCCCAAAGCTCTGAAGCTCCGCCCCTCGCTGCTGCACAGCGCACTGCCACTTCTTAATTCAAAGTTTACTAGTGTTGAACAAACTGGAGCCCCAAGAACAAGAGTCCCAAGAAGCGCACCCCTGAAGTGCGAGGTAGATCCAATGAGCGTCTCTCCAATTATGCAAAGGGAAAAAACACACACAATTACAAACAACGCAGAAGTTTATTATAATATTTTACCATTACACAAATATTGACTAAATGCATTGTTCCCATTGTTTCAGATTAAATATACTTTAGGATTAGGGTTAACATGTAATTATGAAACCGGCTATGATAGTGAGAATTCGCTCAAATGCTTAAAGACATGGTGTCAACAGGTATTTTGCTAATGATATCAAATTAAATGTGTGCTTCCCCTAGAAGAAAACATGTTAACATGAGTGTGGATGTGAAGGAAAGAATACAATTTTTTTTAAAGGAGAGATAAAACAAACTGGTAATATTAGATCAGAAAAGTCAGGAGATAATAATAATTAGACAGAAATGGAAGAGAAAGGAGCATGAGGGAGGCAGAAGAAAGTGTCTCTCCTCACCTGGCTCAGCATCTGTGCAGTGTCAAAGAAGCCTGACTCACAACGATTTGCATACACACACACACACACACACACACACACACACAAGCCGAAAGACACACTCGAGGGAAACAATGGAGTGAAATACACACAGCATCACACACACACACACACACAATGCCGTGCTGTCATGTATGATAAATGTCTTTTTTTGCAGCCTCTGTGACCCACTTGAAGAGGATTCCTTCTACTGCGTCTAACTCACCGGAACATATTACCCAAGCGCCTCCTTTCCCTCCTCTTTCGTTACATCTCACCTCCATTTTGCCCTTACTCCTCTTCCTCATCCCTGTTTTCCCTGGATCAGCCAGATGTGATTCACTGAAATCAAACACCTCTTTCCACTTTGGTTTTGTCCGATATTGTCCGTATATTACTATCCAAACATCGGCCCATTTCACGTCTCCCTTCTCTTTGTTGCTTCAACTCCACGTCGTTATGTTTATTGCACTACAACCGAGTGAGCATGTAGAAAAAGACTGACGTTTCCAGTTTTCCACCCATTTATATTTAAACACATTTTCTCTGCAGTGAAACCCTTTCAGTATTTAGACTGAATCACCTTCTCTCTACACCTCCACATGCCTGCCTCTCGCTGCGCTCTTTGCTGAGTGCCGTTCAGAAGCAATAGAACTACTCACAATTTCGTATTCACCTTCTTTAACTTTTCTGCTGAAATCCTTCACGGCCTGATCCCTCTTTCGTTTAACCTTCTACTCTTTGGAGCAGGAGGGCATGCGTCTCTGCTCGCATCCACACCTTACGACTCTTCCTTCCCCTCCTTGCTTTTCTGTTCCCTCTACTCTTAAGATCTCTGTAATTGTTTGCTTGCCGAGGCTCTTCCTTCTCTCACTGGGACTCACCCAATTTGGTATGCAGACCAAAACTCTCAGCAGCTTCTGCAGAGGTATTGACGTCCTTGCCACTTATCAATCACTGGTGGTACGGACACGTCCGGTGCCCAGGACAGGAAGGCACTGCAGCATGTGATCAAAACAGCACGGTTCATCGCAGGAGCAGCCTTCCCCTCACTACAGAACGTTTACTCCACCAGGGTCACCAGGAGAGCCCGGAATATCATCAAGGACAAGACAACCCCCCCCCCCCCCCCAGCACAGACTCTACTGCCATCCGGCAGACGCTACAGGAGTCTGAAACCGTTTCTACCCGCAGGCCATCAGGCTAATGAACAGCTCCCTCACGAGACACCTCCACACACCCCCACCTCCTCCACCACTGGTAACACACACACACCGCTGCTGTGACTTCATGGCACCAATTCTTGTTGCAATATTGGCAAAAATGCAGCGTATGCCTACATCTGTATCTTTGTGGGAGGAGGACGTGGCAAAATAAGAATTTCATTGAACAGAGTAATATTTTAAACTGTAAACATGACAATAAATATCTTGAATTCTCGAAAGCTGCCCCCGCGGCTGATTTCCCCTCGCTTCGTTCCTTTCTTTACTCCGCCCTTTACGTTCTCCCATCACTTTTCTTGCCCACCTCTTCCTCTCTGACTCTCTCTTCATCAGTAATACTGCAGGCCTACCTGGGGTTATGACCCTTTTTTTGTCCCCCACTCATTTTTGTTTTACACCTGGGCGTGCTAATCCACTGAACACGTACCCTCTCCACCCCCCACAAACACACCGTGACACCTTGGTGTGTCCCTTGCTCGTACGCCACAGCCACAGCATCTCCTCTCATGCCTGGCATCTGGCATCAGCGCGTTGGCTTTGTGTGCTTCACTCGTACTTCACTCTTTGCTCGTCCTGTCTCTTCACAATCTCCAAATCTGCCTTTCCGCTGGGCCTGCAGTATAACAGGAGACTGATGCCAACCTCTCTCGGTCAACTGTCCCTCCCCAACCCACCTTCTGACCCACCTTTCAGGCATTCCCTCACGGGCTTTGAGCGCACATACTCGAACAAGCGCAAACAGAAGCTCAACGTTGAGAATCGAGCGGGCAAGGAGAGTCGAAAAGTCGAACAATGCTGCCCTCTGCTGGAAAATGATCATCATCGGATTCTTTCCAAGTTACACAAGTTTGATGAGACTCTGGGCCTTAAGAGATGTAAAGTTAAATGATGTCATAGCGCCACCTACTGGTAACAGGACGTCAATTTTTATTAGTATCCAGTAAAAAATGAAGGTGGCATTTCGAGAGGCTTTAATTTCGAGAATGGTACATCAGAATGTCCTGGTTATCACCGAGTGACACCTTGGGGATGTATACTCTATGCCTGAAGTGGAAATACTGTGTAACTATTGATTTTTCCCTCTTATATATAATCTGAAAATGACCAGATGTAGTCTTGTGATTGATATTTTGGCTCATGTATGGCATTTTGAGAGGCTTTTATTTTGGAATAGTACATCAGAATGTTCTGCTTATCCCTCGGTGACACCTTGGGGATGTATACTACTGGTCTGAAGTGAAATGATTTTGTAACAATTGATAGTTTCCTTTTAATTTTAATCTCAAATTGACCAAAAGTATTCCTGTGTAGTCCCGCTCATGTATGGTATTTCGAAAGGCTTTCATTTTGGAACGGTACATCAGAATGTCCTCGCTATTCCTGATAGACACCTTGGGGATGTGCACTATGAACCTGAAGTGGAATTATCATGTAGCTGTTGGTCGTTTCCTTTTTAAATACCATCTGAAATTGATTATAAGGCTTGTGAATGTGATTTAAGAGAAGGTTTGGTGATCTATGACATTTCGCGTCGCTCCGCGCGCGCTGTTTTGTCACAAACGTTAAATCAATGCTATGTTTTATTTTGAAAACAGGAAATGTTATGTAATTTGTCAGGTGACAGGAACCAGGAAGTGAATGAAGAATATGGCTCAGAACTGCTGTTTGTATTGGTAGCTTTTCAATCCAGTTGAGTCTGCCTGCATCCTATACCTTTTTGATAGTATCGTTGTTTTACACTTTCTCTCATGTCAATAAACCTGTGGACAACGGACGATTGTCTTCAGAGTCGTGATGTCAGAAAAGAGTTCGTCTAACTGCCGAGGTGTATCGGAGCGCATAAACCGAGGGCGGCATACGCGCGGTTAACGACAACGGACTCTTGGACGCTTTGTGCGACGGCCGCACGGGTTCTGAGCAGGGGTTCTCTCAGAGTGTATGAGGGAGTTCAATGACGTAGAAAGGGGAAATACAAGTTTAGTAAGCAGCGAATGAATTTTAAAGTTACGGATGGTAATTACATGATATTGAATAGTAAAGGTTTTATCCTTGTGCTAAATGTTTTAAACAACCAAAAAAGAAAAAAGGTTTTCAATTAGTAACTTATACCATAATACATAAAGGGCACTGTATACATGTGTAAACATTTGTTTTGTGTTTCTGATTTATAATGAACTCTTTTATCTACATACGCAAAATGCATTGATTTGAGTTTATGTCCAGGAAGGACTTTCAGTACGTTTCTTATTGTTGTACATTGAAAGGATTATTCCTCGTTGTGTGAAACATCAGCAGCGCGGCGCTCTAACGCTCTCAGTTATTCCATTACACCAACACAACACACATATTGCACAGCGAAACGCTGCTTTATTCTCCTTAATGTAATCTGCTTTGGAGGCGTCACATCAGGCTCTTCTACTTATGTGTTACGCATCATTTCTTTTAACTTTCTGGTCATGTTTTTCTGCTGTGAAGATTCTTGTCTTTTCTTTGTAGCCCTGATGAATGTGTCTTCTTAGATGATTATTTGTATTCATGTTTTTATCACAAGGTTAACTATCATCTCATAACTAAATGTGTGTTGCCATTCATTTTATAATACTCTTATTATTATTACACAAGAATACTATTAGTAATACACACTGATGACCAAACATACAACAAACATTATGTTCCTAGGTTTGAGTTCATATTGATCTCGATGCTTTCATGTTATGAATGTTATTTGTTTTTATGTCTACTGGTGTGTGGGTGTGTGTTCAAAGGGAAGGGAGAGGCCTCGTTCTTTGAAAGGGTGAGAAAGTGGAAGTTACTTTAAAGTAGTTAAAGACTGTTAACACTCTGGTTAGATGAGCTCATCATCTCTCACTTTCAACAAGATGGAAATCTATGCGTTCTTTTGCATTCTTACAGGGGAGTACTTTTGGGGATTTCTCTGTATTTGTAAACTATTAAAGCTTTCGTATGAATGCTGTAGTTTTTAAATGACATGCTTGTCCTTTATTTTCCTAAATCACCCATTAACTGGTCTATTTAGAAATGTTATATTTATAAAATGTGACTCAGCTGCTCGTGCTGGAATGTTTGGACTGATGTAACAGAATGAATGTCAAGTACTTTTGACCTGATGATTCCTACACACTCATTCACTCGCTCTCTCACTTTCACGATAATGAAAATCTATGTTTACTTTTGTCTTCTTTCCGGTGAGTTTGTTTGTATTTTCTGCATTTACACCAACTGTAGCTTGCGTACAAAAGATGTAGCTGTTGAATGAAACATGTAATCTTCTAATTAGGGGTTTATTTTTGTTTTTCTATTTTACAGTTCAATGATCCAAAGCAAGAAAATAAGTCTGTGCATATTTGTTGCTACGATTTAATAAACAGTTGACATATTTTTTTCTTATGTTGTTTTTATTGACTGTTTTGGTTGATTTCCTCTGCTTTAGGATTGCAACATTAGTTTTAGCTAAAAGAACACGGATTAAGAGATTTAAATTGAATTTACGGAAAATGTCCTTCTCTCCTTCTGATCTATAGGTATGATGCTCCAGAGGTAAAGAATATCTTCATGAATGAAATGAAATGAGAAGATTATGATCTGGCTGTATTTTATATATTTTTTGAGATATAAAGCTTTACTGTCAAGCTTTCTGCAGCAACAGGAGCAGCACATGAAAAGCTGGTGGCACAAACAGGAAGTCCCTCACAGGCCAGACCATTTCCTTTCGTAGAAGCACCCGGCCGCCCGTCCACATCAGAGGCTGAGTCAATAGAGGAACACGGCCACTAAATGAGAAACAGCTTGTGTGTTGCAGGAGGAGGAGGAGCATCAACTGGAGACAATAAGAGGAAGTGAAGGAGGGACGTGAAGACGGTGATGACTGACCTGATGATTCCTACACACTCGATCACTCACTCTCTCACTTTCACGATGATAAAAATCTATGTTTACTTTTGTCTTCTTTCTGGTGAGTTAGTTTTTTTCTGTATTTTCTGCATTTACACAAACTGTAGCTTGCGTACAAAAGATGTAGCTGTTGATTGAAACATGTATAATTTAATCAGGGGTTTATTTTATTTTTCAAATTTGCCGTCATGAATAGTAAAAACTAACGTCAAAGGAAATGTACGTATGAACTATGACTAAGGCAAAATGTCTCCTTTATTTCTGCTTGTAGGTCTGAGTGTTGTGCAGATGAAGCCTCTGAACATAAATGGTCGTGTTGGTGAAAGTGTGAAAATCAGCTGCTCAGACTGGAACGTTTGGGCTGATGTAACAGAGAATGTCAAGTCCTTTTGTTACAGTCCATGCACGGAGGACCGACACATCATCATTAAAGCAGCATATGAAAAAATTGAAAATAAAAATAGAATAAAGTTACATAACGAAGGAAAAACCTTGTTCGTGACCTTCAGCAATCTCAAAAAGTCAGACTCCAAAACATACTATTGTGGAGTGGATAGATATGCCTTACTTGACTCATATATAATGAGGTGAATCTAAAAGTCACTGATGGTGAGTTTATTCTCTAAATATTCTCAATGAGAAAATCCTTGTTTGCCCAAAAGTAATAACTTTCTTAATTGTTGGTATGTTCACTTGTCTGTTATTTTCAGCTCCGCCCCCCAGTCCCAGCATGACTCCACAAACTGTCATTGTGTTTACCACGTCCTCATTTACAAAGAGCTCCACGATGTCTTCTAACAGCTCAGATGTTATTACTGATACGTCTACATCATACACCACCTTCAATACACCACCTGATGCACCAGCACAAGGATCAGTTAGTGAGTACATCATGCATGAACATGTTACAGTATATTGACTGCATATATAATTTGATGTTGATTAAAGTTGTATAAGAATACATCTATATAGATACACACACACTTGTCAATGCAATGCTCACATACACAAGTACTGCCAGCACCACTTTATTCATAAATTATAACATGTTTCAGCATCTTGCCTGCCTCCTTAATATAAAATGGTGCAGTTCGTGGAACAAAAATATCTGTGTTTTCATTTCCTGTGAAAAGCAAGTTTGTGATTATTGACAGATTCATTAGTAACAAAGAGGAGATGAGCACATGCTAAGTACCATGAAGTGTGAATGATCTTTTCTCACATCCGTCCTCTTTCTCTGTCTTTGTCCAGGCTATGTTCTATATTTGGTTATAGGTGTTATTGTCGTAATAATCATACTGATCGTCTCACTCAAGTTTATGAACAAGATGATGAAACAACAATCGAGTAAGATTCACATTAATATTAAATTAAAATACACCTTGCAAATATTTGTCTACTTCAATCAGGCCTCCACCAGACAAATTAACAAATGATGTCCTTTATGTTCACAGAAGTTGTGTCAGATGCTGATACAGCAAACAGAGAAACACAACAGGTCAGTTTTGGGCTCAAATCAGTTTCTATTGACTCTTTCACAGAAACATCTTGCTTGAAGTTTTCCTCACTTGTTCCCTCAGCTTGTGTGAGTCTCACACATTTCTCTCAGCTCTGACACTCTCTTCTCATTTCTTACTTCAATGCCATTTAGAATAATTTTACAATGCTGATAAACAAACATTTTTAAACACTATAATGTTCCTCTGCAGAAGCTGCTTCTTGACACAATATGTTCATCTTTTGTGCTTATTCTTCACCTTTATGGTTCATTTAGGAGCCAAAGACACACATTTTTCACCTAACCACCCGGGTCCCGTTCCTCATTGATGAAGGATCTAATCTAATTAGTTAGATTCACATTTTATAGGGAGAGATTTCTTCATGATCCATTATCACATCACGATGACTTTCTATACGAATCATTTATTTAAAGACCTTCTGGAGCCGTACATGGTGAACACTAGGACTGCAACAACGAATCGATGATATCTATAAAATTCGATTATTCAAAGCGTTGGCAACAAACTTCATTATCGATTCATTGTGTCGCGCAATTATTACGTCACTCAATAAGTTGATGTTATGTCTGTAAAGGGAGACACACGGTGATCCATTAAATCAACTAAGAAGCCTCTAATGCATTTATTTACAAATGCCATTTTAATTCCAACTCATAGCACTTGGTTGTTTTTTAGCTGTACTTAGATGGGGTGTATACATTTACTTAACTTGCACTACAATGATGGTAATAATTTGAATAAGCTTCAAGTGAACATGTGAGAGAGTTTGTGAGTGTAGTATAGAGAACAAGTTCTGACGTTAAAACAAATCTTTACATTTTCTGATTTGTATTTTTGCTTTATTTTTTTATAAATTTATGTTCAAGGAGCAACCTGTACTTTCTGAAGTATTTTTGCAATGTGAATTTGCAGTTCTGTTTTAGAATAAATGGTTGGAAATTAAAGCTTTTCAATGCTGTTTTTTTTTTTTATCCGATTAATTGAATAAATAATCAACCGATTAATCGATTATTAAAATAATCGTTAGTTGCAGCCCTAGTGAACACCACACAGCCGAGCATTCACTGTCTCACACACTGCATTCAGAGCCTTGTGCTACATTCTTGTAGAGTTTATTTGATGTTGTACTGTTACAATCATGGTTTTGGTGATCAAGGCTTCCCCCTTTTGCAGTAGGACCGACACACAAAATTATCCTGATAACTGAAGTCTGGTTGGAATTAACGAGACTTTTTGAGCCTTTGAGGAACCTGGATAGCTTGACTTCAATCACCTGGTTAACTAATACTGACTAGCAGGACATTTGATCGACATAGTTGATCTACGTACGAGGAACGGGGCCCTGGTCTGTTCTCAGCTTTTTTGTTGTTGTTTCTGTCTCTTTTCTATTTGAAGGACGCTGGATACGAAGAAATAAGACTTGAAGACCAAACCGACCCAGATACTCTCTATTCTAATTATTCCTACAGCCGAGTCATTGATTTACCAGTTGAGAGGCGTGATGGATATTCAGACGCTCTTTATTTAAATCAAGCTGCCATCTTCATGGGCAATTCAAGGGGGGCGTGTAGAAAGAGCGCGGGCACATTTGACTCTGTGTACTCTGTTGTTCAACATCCCAAAGAGCAAATGAATCCCTCTGTGCAATGTGAAAGAAATCAACCTGAGAGCAATGAAGAGGACTTTATCTACTCCCTGGCTCAGCAACTACGGGAAACCTGAGGGAGGCTACTGTGCTCAAAATGCATAAATTAGCTTTCTAGATCCTTTGTTTGATTTTTGTAGAGATATGAAGTAACTGTAGGACAGGGAACAATGCATCACATTAGAAGGATATCCAGACACAATGTCACTTCATTAGTCAAATCAGGAATCAGGAAACATTTATTGCCAAAATATGTCAAACATACAAGGAATTTGTCTTGGCGGTTGGTGCGTGACAGTAGACAGTGTAACAATAGACAACAAGACAGCACTGCACAAGTAATAAAATGAAATGCTAATGCAATGGTTTAGTAGAATAAGGCTATGGGTTAGTATAAAACAAGAGAATAAAGTTAAAGTTAAAAATTTTAAGTATTTAAAAAGTTAAAAAATATTAAACATAAAGTGCACTATCGAACAAAGGCACTCAGAGTGAAATGTTGCCCATAAAACTGGCGATCTAGTCTGCATTGCAATACAAGAAGGAAAATACAAGTGATGTTTTATTTAGTAAAATACTGCATCATTCACCTTGGAATATTAGTGTATTATTGTCATTCATAATTTAAAGTTAAGAACAGTTACAAACAGCAAATGTTATTTTGTGTCTACTTGCTTTTAGATTTGTCACACTCGTACACATAAACAAAATGGAGACATCCTGCATAGCTGTAAATAGCTGCGGTGTATCAGCCTTTGCTACCATGATTCATCAAGTATTTAATTGATGCTGCTTCTTCTTTGTTTGAACAATCTAAAGACTTCGTGAAAACAACCTTATGGAGCCAAAAACTAATATCGCAACAGGACATTTAATTATGTCTCTTATTATTTGTATCGGGAACATGCAGCGCTTTGGCTTTTTAATATCATTACATTACATGTCATTTAGCTGACGCTTTTATCCAAAGCGAATAAGTGCATTCAACCATAGGGTACAAACTCAGAAGAACGAGAAACAAGAAAGTGCTATTTCATCAAATAAGCCAATTTACAATTTGCTATAGATGAGTGGCGTTATAAGTACAATTTAAGTGCTACAATTTGTTAGTCTTTAGTCTAGGTAGAGTCTGAAGAGGTGTGTCTTTAGTTTGCGGCGGAAGATGTGAAGGCTCTCTGCGGTCCTGGTGTCTTCAGAGAGCTCGTTCCACCATTTGGGAGCAAGGACAGCAAAGAGTCGAGATCTAGTCGAGTGTTTTGCTCTCAGTGAGGGAGGGACGAGCAGTTTTGCAGATGCAGAGCGGAGAGTGCGGGTCGGGATGTTGGGTTTGACCATGTCCTGGATGTAAGCTGGACCCGATGTTTTGAATTCACACACACACAGCAAGCAGAAGTCACCTTGCAGGGGGAATATCCTGCAGTAGCTGTTCTTGTTAGGCTCAGAGAGCGAGAGCAGCTTGATGTTTTTTGTGTTACAGTTATTGTGTACCACCAGGGGGAGAGAGTGACCTGAGGTTTCTATTCTGTTGTTGCTGGCAGCTAAATATACAATATATTGGCGGGCCTTGAGTTTGACATATTTGCTCTAAAGTCAAAACAAAGATGCCAAACTGCTCTGTAAAGTTCAGTGGAACATAATACTTTACTAATTGCCTTTACACGTTGGCATTTTATCAATTGTAAATAGAAACTCATGATATGTTACACTGTTAGCAATGAACATATGTCACGTTAGGTTACAGAACCTGATGAGATGACAATACTTTCTAACATGCTCTTTAACAGCTCTATTCATTTAGTTTGAACCAGCTATTAAAAGAAGAAAAAAATAATTTAAAAAAGGATGTTGATTCAGCACTGTGGCCCGATGGCACTTTTCACACCTGCATAGTTCACAAGTCGGTACGCTGCTTACAACAAATTGAAGGCATGAAACTACAAAATAAAACAAGACGTGAACCCAAACCGTGACAGTAGCCATGTCATCATTTTAAAACAAGATTTTGGAAAAGGAATTTTTACATTTTTTTTAATTTGATCAACATGCATTTGATTTGATCAGGAGATACCTCTGAACCGAGTAGAACTTTGTTTGTGCAGAAGAGATTGATATGGTGTATAACAGGGGTGCTCAATACGTCGATCGACCAGTCGATCCCCCCCACCCCCCCCAGCCGCCATCGCCATGACGAAAAGTAGTTGAAAAGTAGCTCGCAAGCCGTAAAAGTTTCGGCACCCCTGGTGTATAATATAGTTACAATATACTTACCTCAACGGCAGAACATGTGACAGTTGTGCGTGCCCATTAAAATGTTTTAGTGTTAGTTTAGGTTGTTGCATGTTGGTTACAGACACACAACCCACACATTGACTGGTCAGCAGTTTGTGTCTGGGGCTGGAGGTCAGACCTGTCCCTAGCAGATGTTGCCATATCACCATCAAGCTCCAAGCCTCCAGATCTATCCACCATACCTGCAGAGTATCATGATTTGGGTTTGGTGTTCAGTAAGAACTTAGCGCTCTCCTCTCCCCCTCACCCCTCTCCGGTGCTCCTCTTCCAACTAGTCGGCTCTATAACTTGGCCCGTCCAGAGAGGGAAGCAATGGAAAAGTATATCAAGGAGTCACTGAGTGCTGGTATAATCAGACCATCCTCATCCCCAGTTGGTGCTGGATTCTTTTTTGTTTCCATGAAAGGACCACTCCCTCCGACCATGTATTGACTTTTGTGGGTTGAACAATATAACCATTAAGAACAAGTACCCCCTACCACTAATAAACTCTGCTTTTGAGCCACTCCAGGGCGCAACAGTCTTCACAAAGCTGGATCTCCGGAGTGCCTACCACCTGGTCAGAATCAGGGAGGGGGAAGAATGGAAGACTGGTTTCAACACTCCACTGGGGCATTTTGAGTATCTGGTGATGCCGTTCGGCCTCACAAACGCTCCTGCAGTTTTTCAAAGCATTTGTTAATAACGTGCTAAGTGACTTTCTCAATCGTTTTGTGTTTGTTTACCTGGATGATCTTTCCGATCATGTCTCCCACGTCTGTCAGGTTCTCCAGAGACTCCTGGAGAACAGCTCTATGTGAAAGCCGAGAAATGCAAGTTCCACGCTTGTTCAGTCGCTTTTCTGGGGTACATTTTTGCTAGTGGGCAGGTAAGGGCTGACCCAGAGAAGATCAAGGCTGTGACAAACTGGCCCAGACCCCACAACCGGAATTACAGCGGTTCCTGGGGTTCGCTAATTTCTATCGTCGGTTCATCAGAGACTACAGCAAGATAGCGGCTCCGTTAACCAAACTCACCTCCACCCCTTTCACGTGGACCCCCAAGGCTAAGAGCTAAGAAGGAGCTTCACCTCACCACCCATCCTGCTCTACGGTGTGTAACCGCCGCCAATCACACTGCCTGGAGCGCACAACTCGCATGGATTGAATACGCCCATAATTCCCTGACCAGCACTGCCAGAGGTTTGTCTCAGCCGCCCCTGTTTCCCTCTCTAGAGGGTGACATAGCTGTCCCATCAGTTCAAATGCACCTCCGCCGCTGCCATAAGGTCTGGGGATACACCCGCTCTGCCCTACTCCGCTCAGCTGAAAACAACCAGCGCATTGCAAACCGCCACCGGACACCAGCTTCTGCATACAAACCAGGTCAGAAACTATGGCTTTCCTCCAAACATATTCCAATAAAGACTGAATCAGAGAAACTGGCACAACGTTACCTTCGTTGTGGAGAAGATAAGTAACCCTACAGCTCTGCGACTGGAACTTCTCCGCACCATGAGGGTCCATCCCACATTCCATGAGTCACAGTTGAAACCGGTGTCCACCAGCCCACTGTGCCCTCCACCAGTTCTCCCGCCACCCACCCAGATGATTAACGGGTATCATGCCAACTCCATTCAATGGCTCCTGGATGTACGTCGCCATGGCAGAAGTTACCTGGACTGGGAGGGATACGGTCCGGAGGAGAGCCGTTGGGTACTCTCGGCCCCTCAGTCGTGTAGGGCTCCCAACTTGGCCTTTTTAGTTCAGATCTCCGGGGAGCACAATCAGCAGACTGAAGGATTTGCGAAAATACTACTGTGTCTATGTGAAGGGGTTCTGGCCATGTTCTTCTTCTTGTGTTGGTCCGCAGGTACACGTTGGGATGTGGAGTCTGCAAACCTTCTTTCTTGTGAGGCACCCGCGTTGTAGACAGTCAACACAGATCACAATGCAGTAATTCCACAATTACTCTTGTAGTTGGCATATCTTTGTATGCATCTGATGAAAACATAGCATATGTGAGTGGTGGTGGTGCGGATGTATAAGTGAGAAATGATGCTGTGCAAAACAGCATGTTGTTCTGCAGTGTGCGTGCGAGGAAGCAGGTCTTCATTGCAGCATTGTGTGTGTGTGTGTGTGTGTGTGTGTGTGTGTGTGTGTGTGTGCGTGCGAGGAAGCAGGTCTTTGTTGCAGCATCGTGTGTGCACAGTCATGTTGGTTATGTCTGTGGGCTCCTCGAGGCCGCTGTGAATCTGAAAGGCAGCCACAAGACGCTGATAGTAAAATGTTACATCTTCAGCTTTACCTTGTTTCGTGCTGTTGATGAGGGCCATGTTGACTTGGAAGGCCGCAACCACAGCAGCACAGATGGCTGTTATGTCTTTGCATAACGTCAGGAACTCTTTTCCAAAAGCCACGCCATTTTTTATGGTGGGCAGATGGGAGGCAGGTAGTCCATCCTGTGGCCCTGGAACTTGAAACATGGGGGCTTGAATATAAGACCCGTCCAGTTTACTGTCCATGGTGGTGTTAGGACTAAGAAAATTCACAATTCTGCCGGCTGTGCCCCTCCAGGGGGATGGGTCGTGGATTGACCATGCAGAGTCCGGGGTGGACTGAGCTGTGGGGTCAGGTCTCAATGGGTTGAGGGGTGAGCATGATTTGACGTCTGCACCTCCCTGGTCTCCCAGCCGGGTTTGACTGCGTGTTACAGGTCTGCCAACCGTAGGATCGGGGTTGTATGGTGGTGGTGATTGTTGGACTGGAGGTGGTGCAGGAATTTGACAACACGTGTTCAGGAGAGGACCGCCTGCCCCTGTCAGGGATGGATACAATGGAGAAGACACACATGGATTATTCTGTGTTTCAATGTCAGGTTTTTTCAGTTTTTAAACACGTCATTTTCTTCATCATTCGTTTTCTCTCCCTGCATTCACATTCCATTTCCCATTGTGCCAGACATGTCTGGTTTTTCTCTATTATTTCCAAGTCTTTAACTTTGATCTTTTTACCACTTTTCAATTTTTATTTTTTTTTAACTTTGCGTCCAAATCTCCTTTTAACATTTTAAGTTTAGCGGCACTCAACGAGCCGTTTTCTGGAAACCCAAACTCTTTTGTCCAGTATGGGAGACACTCTGTACATGTTTTCCCGTATTTCTGCTGCATCATTGCCACAATCGGACCCGACGTTCCGTGTGTTTTGCGGACTGGCTACCCATCTTTTACTGGTGGACCCTACCGGTTTACTTATTACAATACAGTCGTCACCGTAAGGCTTAGTTTCTTTACTCACCCGGAAAAACTTTGCAAAAACCCCACTCAAAACTCACGCTTCGATTTTGCCACGATCTTGTTCTAAAGGTAATTCAGTAGAACTCACATTTGGTTAACAATAACAGTGATATCGTTTTGAATGTTTTTCAGTGTAAAACTCACGCTTCGATATTGCCATGATCTTATTCTAAAGGTAATTCAGTAGAACTCACGTTTGGTTAACAATAAGAGTGATATCGTTTTACCTGCTTCAGCATAAAATTCACGTAGGCTATTTCCACGATCTTATTCCACAGGTGGAATTCACGTGTGGTCAATAGCAACGGTCTTATTTGCTATCTGCGTTACGATCTCGGAGAATTTGATCCGAGTGAAATCTTTACCGTAAGCAATCCTGTCTTCTACTTGTAGTCTAGCGATGTTACGATCTCAGAGAATTTGTTTGAAATCGTACACGATCCTATCTACCTTCGCATAAAATGATGCATTAGAAATATCCCGGAATCATGTACTCAAAAAAGATATTAAAAGATTATTATAAGGAAAAAAAAAAAAAAATGTTAAAAAATAATTTTATTCCCCAGACTATAACAACCACTTGTATAACAACCACTTGATCAGTCATCTGTCTCCGTTATGTTCAACTCTTACTGTTACTTTATAATCGGAATTTCAACTTCTTACCCGAGTTTGCAGAAATTAATTCTTCTTCGCTGGATACGCGTGACGTCAATCAGGACTCCTCTGGTTTCCGCCGGTCCTTTCTCTCTTGTCTAAGGAGGTATGAGGCAGGATCATCAGCTGGTGATCCTGGAAAAGGCCTTTTTCCCCGGACGGTCCCCTGGAGCCTGACGGACGGTCAGTGAATCCTGTTCGTGACGCCAAATTGTTGTGGAATATTTCAATAAAAGCTCTGTAGAAGAGAATGATTTGTCTGATAAAACCGAGTCTTGATGAATGATCAAAGTTGCAAAAAGTCCATTTATTGCTTGCAAGCAGGAGGTCAAATACACAGGCACGTATCACAGTGCTCTGTGGAAATGGCGTCTCCGAGCACTAAAGACGCTGAGTTTTTATACACATGTGGAGGACATTCTCTGTGTCAGTTACGAGAAGCAGCAAAGCAGGTTGAGATAAGAACTCAGGGGAAGCTGAGGGTAGCACACACACACAAGATACTCCTTAATGGCCGGTGCAAATCATTATTACTTGACATAAAAGTAAAACTTGGATCCAGAAATTTCGTACAGAATAAGATATCAACCAAGGCCAATAAGAGGAGTCCTTTGTTTTGAAGCTTCTATGAGATCGAGTCAACCGTCCTCCCTTCTCAGGGCACAGCTGCAAACTAACATTTTGTATCATGCTGCTCTTTGCACATCAGGGTCAAATACAGGACACTTCAGACACGGCTTTAGCACAAATGCATGTAATACTCATTACAAAATACATAATGTGCTGGCAAGCCCAACCTCCTCCCTCCTCGGCCCAAGGCACCTGTGCACCAGCAGGTCTGGTTCAGGTCTGACATTCTATCATAGGAAATAAAACATTATATTAATTTCCCCATGGTATACAGGATGTAGATTAAAATTCTACAACCTACCTGCTTAGTGTAGTTTGCTCACACACACGGTACTGGCGAGCAAAAAAACAGAGCAACCCAGACTTCAGCACATGCCGGACAACGAGAACAAACGTGAGTTGCTCAACTCTCACGGGATCTCCTTTTATATGGAGAGGCTCTCCTTGAGTTTAAGCCTCCCGCTCTGTGCTGAGGCTCCCCGGTCCTACGGTCCCACCTTTCACATATGTTTGCTTTGTTGACACGTTGCTGCAATGTTTTACTTTTCAATGTCAACTACATTTTATTAAATGCATTTTATTTCACTCAGCTTAATTTGGGACAAGTTTATTAACATTAATGAAACATGTCTTGTTCCCTAAGGGTGCAGGTCCTAATGAAGTCTACCAATCACTCCACCCATTGATGATGGACAAAGACCAAGTCTACAGCACCATAACACCCAACAAAAGGGAGGGACAGTCTACATCCCCACTTTGAAGGATCTCTGCAGCAGCAGCTATTGCATCAATATTAAATGCCTGAGTGTTGAAAGATAAAATAAGTATTTTGCATTTGCTAAATAAAGCTTGGGACATACTTTCATAATTCCATGTCAGCGGACAGCTTCACACTTGTACTAGTCGGTATTTGGTTTTATATAAACTTCTTTGAAGACAAATTGTGCACAGTCCTGGGTTTGCCTGTCAGGACACTCATGGTCCAATCACAGAGGGCGGAGGAAAGTCCCAGGTCTCTGAGCCCACTGACGAGCTTAGAGGCCACGATGGTGCTGATGCCAGCGGTCCTCAATGAACAGCGTTTTGCCATTTGTGTTCCTCCGGTCCAGGTGGAGGTTTGGGTGGATGCTGAGAGCTTTGCTGGCGTCTGTGGATGTGTTTGTCATTCGGGCAGTGGGGTTTGCTCTTTTGGGGGACAGGGACTATGGTGGTCTTTTTGGAGAATGTGGGGGAATACAGTGAAATGTGTTGTGGAATATTTCAATAAAAGCTCGGTAGAAGAGAATGATTTGTCTGATAAAACAGAGTCTTGATGAATGTTTTGAAGCTTCTATGAGATCGAGTCGACCGCCCTCCCTTCTCAGGGCACAGCTGCAAACTAACATTTTGTATCATGCTGCTCTTTGCACGTCCGGGTCAAATACAGGACACTTGAGACACGGCTTTAGCACAAAACAATGTTATAACATATTTTTACCATTACAAATGTTATAAATATCACTGAGCACATCTGCCAGTTGTTATGCACAAGCCACAAGAGCTCGGCCGAGGATGCCTTCAGGTCCAGGTGCCTTTGGTGGCTTAAGATTTACACACATCCACCCTGAATACTGCTGGTGACGCAACAATGATGAAGACTGTGGGTAAAACACTTCGTCATGGCCTTTTATTTGCTCTAAACTTGACTTACGTTTTAGGGCAGAAAGAAAACGTAAAGTTTGGGACCTCAGAAGAACGTTTTGTTTTAGAATTGGTGCGTCTCAATCTGCTAACATGCTCATCTTTCATTGTGTCATACACACTTAGTTTTTGTGTTGTAAGTGTCAAATTGTCGGCCTTTTACATTTAGATTGTGTACTTTTCTTTTCTTCAAATTCAGAATAAATGTTTTTTTTCTTTATGTGAATGGCATCTGGTTTTGTGCACACTGACATAATCTTACACTGTGTTGGAGAGACATTCACCAGGGGACTGTACCTTTAAGGGAAAGTGTTTTGATGTGAGGTTAACGTGCATGTCCGCAGTAGTTCTCACGTGTTGTTTTGTGTTATTGAAGTGGAGAGTAAAGCTGACTCAACGCATCTCCGTCTCCTGTCTCGTCTCTTTTCACCCTCCACAACTGTTTGCTTTGCGGCTGAGCGTCAGTGAGAGTACGAGTAGGTGTGTGTGTAGCGGCAGCGTCCTCAAGAGATTGCAGTTGTAGTTGGATCGCGTCCCTTCGTCTGTGTCCGAGCTGTCTCGTTCCTTTGCTCCTTCAAACTGAGTCAAAGAATTCAGCCTTCCAGCCCACGATTTTGGTTGTTATTTACGTTGTTAACTTCCGACCGTAGTTATCAGTGAAAAGTCACTTTACTGCCTTAACTTTCACACTTTAAAAGGTTGATCAATGTCTTACTGCGGTTGTGACCGTTTCAAAGATCGTTTATACTTGTTATTATGAACAGAAACTGATCAACGTGAGTTCAAGTAGACAAATTATGAACCTGATCTTGTCACGGCCAGTTTACCAATGACCCAAATGCAGACAGACGGCAGGTTAGGTGGAAAGAAAAGCTTTATTTTATGGGTACATGGATGCAGTTGAGGAAGCAGTGACAAGGAAGTGTAAAAAGTGCTGGCTGGGCGGCGATGCGGTATGAAGATGTACTGGACTGACACAATCACACAGGTTATGTTACACGGTACCAAGATTACCGGCTAACGGGGCGAGAGTATATCTGCCACAGACGTGAAGAGACGATCGGGCGATGAGACAACCGGAAACCGGGATAATTCAGCTGGCGGTGACGAGGGCTTGATGATGGACCAATGAGGAGCCCAGATGCCAGCTGATTGCAGCCACACACACACACACACACACACACACACACACAGAAGGAACAAACCGTAGCAAAGCTGATGTCATATTAGAGCTGGTGGGTCTTTTGGGGGGGTTAGGGTCAGCCATTCAGTTTCAGTAAACATCTCAGTATGATTCAATGCAAAACAATTATTATTCTTCATTATTACTTCGCAGTTAAGTATTTAACATCTTATTCAAACAATTTAGTACAATGATAGATATACACAGTATATAACTATATATAAACAATATGATATAACTACTATATTGTATAAATATAATAAAAATATAATATTAAATACAATACAAATATACTTATAAAATCCACCTCTCCTTTCTCTGGTACAGAGTTCGGGTCAGGTCTTCTTGGAAGGACACTGCTCGTGGTCACTCTTGTTTTAACTGGTGTGAGACTCGCGTAGGGCGGTGAAGAGCTCTGCCCACAACTCAATGGATTTTAGGACTCTGAAAGGATGTGTCACTCATTGACTTTAATCAGTGATTGGCTAAACTGCTTCTAAAGGCTGGCGCATGCTTCTGCTTCTGCGTCTTTACACAGAGTCGTGTCAACGCACTCGTTTCAATTCATGGTTCTAAAGTCTTGCGTGTGTTGCAGAGCAATTCACCGCCAGAACAACAGGTGGAGTAACGTGTTTTTGTTGAAGACGACCAAAAGAGTGACGTCTTGCGTAGCTTTTGACGCTAGTCTAGAAAAATGGGTCGACGCACGCAAGAACGCAAGAAGAGGTGAAAAGACGCCCAACGGGCTCTTGAGTGCGAGTGTCCTTGCGTCTCTCTGAAAACGCAGAAGCATGAACTAGGTTTTGGATCCACCGCTTTGGGACACGGCCCGAGCCCAGCTGAGACATGCAGAGAGGGCGTGCAGGAAAAGCATATATTTTGCGCAGATATCTTAATTTACTAATATTACTGGGTACATTCCATGTTTCAAAAACACACATATTGACTATTTGTAAAATGTATGTTTTATATAATGAAAATGATTATTAGGATTTCATTTAAAATGACCAGAATGTGTCCTTCTCTCAGCCTGATCTATAGGTATGATGCTCTTGAGGTAAAGAATCTTCCTAAATGAAATGAGAAGATTATGATCTGGCTGTATTTTATATATTTTTTCAAATATAAAGCTTTACTGTCAAGCTTGCTGCAGCAACAGGAAAAGTTGCCACCACAAACAGGAAGTCCCTCACAGGCCAGACCATTTCCTTTCGTAGAAGCACCCGCCCCCCCGTCCACATCAGAGGCTGAGTCAATAGAGGAACACGGCCACTAAATGAGAAACAGCTTGTGTGTTGCAGGAGGAAGAAGAGCATCAACTGGAGACAGTAAGAGGAAGTGAAGGAGGGACATGAAGACGGTGATGACTGACCTGATGATTCCTACACACTCGTTCACTCACTCTCTCACTTTCACGATGATAAAAATCTATGTTTACTTTTGTCTTCTTTCTGGTGAGTTAGTTTTTTTCTGTATCTTCTGCATTTACACAAACTGTAGCTTGCGTACAAAAGATGTAGCTGTTGATTGAAACATGTATAATTCAATTAGGGGTTTATTTTATTTTTCAAATTTGCCGTCATGAATAGTAAAAACTAACGTCAAAGGAAATGTACGTATGAACTATGACAAAGGCAAAATGTCTCCTTTATTTCTGCTTGTAGGTCTGAGTGTTGTGCAGATGAAGCCTCTGAACATAAATCGTCGTGTTGGTGAAAGTGTGACAATCAGCTGCTCAGACCGGAACGTTTGGGCTGATGTAACAGAGAATGTCAAGTACTTTTGTTACAGTCCATGCACGGAGGACCGACACATCATCATTAAAGCAGCATATGGAAAAATTGAAAATAAAAACAGAATAGAGTTACATAACGAAGGAAAAACCTTGTTCGTGACCTTCAGCAATCTCCAAAAGTCAGACTCCAATATATACTATTGTGGACTGGAGAGATTTGGCCCTGACTCATATATAAAGGTGAATCTAAAAGTCACTGATGGTGAGTTTATTCTCTAAATATTCTTATTGAGAAAATCCTTGTTTGCCCAAAAGTAATAACTTTCTTAATTGTTGGTATGTTCACTTGTCTGTTATTTTCAGCTCCGCCCCCCAGTCCCAGCATGACTCCACAAACTGTCATTGTTGTTCCCACCTCCTCATTTACAAAGAGCTCCACGATGTTTTCTAACAGCTCAGATGTTATTATTGATACGTCTACGTCATACACCACCCTCAATACACCACCTGATGCACCAGCACAAGGATCAGTTAGTGAGTACATCATCCATGAACATGTTACAGTATATTGACTGCATATATAATTTGATGTTGATTAAAGTTGTATAAGAATACATCTAGATAGATAGATAGATACACACACACTTGTCAATGCAATGCTCACATACACAAGTACTGCCAGCACCACTTTATTCATAAATTATAAGATGTTCCAGCATCATGTCTGCCTCCTTAATATAAAATGGTGCAGTTCATAGAACAAGAATATCTGTGTTCTCATTTCCTGTGAAAAGCAAGTTTGTGATTATTGAAAGATTCCTTAGTAGCAAAGAGGAGATGAGCACATGCTAAGTACCATGAAGTGTGAATGATCTTTTCTCACATCCGTCCTCTTTCTCTGTCTTTGTCCAGGCTATGTTCTATATTTGGTTATAGGTGTTATTGTCGTAATAATCATACTGATCGTCTCACTCAAGTTTATGAACAAGATGATGAAACAACAATCGAGTAAGATTCACATTAATATTAAATAAAATACACCTTGCAAATATTTGTCTACTTCAGTCAAGCCTCCACCAGACAAATTAACAAATGATGTCCTTTATGTTCACAGAAGTTGTGTCAGGTGCTGTTTCAGCAAACAGAGAAACACAACAGGTCAGTTTTGGGCTCAAATCAGTTTCTATCGACTCTTTCACAGAAACATCTTGCTTGAAGTATTTCCTCACTTGTTCCCTCAGCTTGTGTGAGTCTCACACATTTCTCTCGCAGCTCTGACATTCTCTTCTCATTTCTTACTTCAATGCCATTTAGAATCATTTTACAATGCTGATAAACAAACATTTTTAAACACTATAATGTTCCTCTGCAGAAGCTGCTTCTTGACACAATATGTTCATCTTTTGTGCTTATTCTTCACCTTTATGGTTCATTTAGGAGCCAAAGACACACATTTTTCACCTAACCACCCGGATCCCGTTCCTCATTGATGAAGGATCTAATCTAATTAGTTAGATTCACGTTTTATACGGAGAGATTTCTTCAAGATCCATTATCACATCACGATGACTTTCTATATGAATCATTTATTTAAAGACCTTCTGGAGCCGTACATGGTGAACACTAGGACTGCAACAACGAACCGATGATATCTATAAAATTCGATTATTCAAAGCGTTGGCAACAAACTTCATTATCGATTCATTGTGTCGCGCAATTATTACGTCACTCAATGAGTTGATGTTATGTCTGTAAAGGGAGACACACGGTGATCCATTAAATCAACTAAGAAGCCTCTAATGCATTTATTTACAAATGCCATTTTAATTCCAACTCATAGCACTTGGTTGTTTTTTAGCTGTACTTAGATGGGGTGTATACATTTACTTAACTTGCACTACAATGATGGTAATAATTTGAATAAGCTTCAAGTGAACATGTGGGTGTGTTTGTGAGAGAGTTTGTGAGTGTAGTATAGAGAACAAGTTCTGACGTTAAAACAAATCTTTACATTTTCTAATTTGTATTTTTGCTTTATTTTTTTATAAATTTATGTTCAAGGAGCAACCTGTACTTTCTGAAGTATTTTTGCAATGTGAATTTGCAGTTCTGTTTTAGAATAAATGGTTGGAAATTAAAGCTTTTCAATGCTGTTTTTTTTTTTATCCGATTAATTGAATAAATAATCAACCGATTATTCGATTATCAAAATAATCGTTAGTTGCAGCCCTAGTGAACACCACACAGCCGAGCATTCACTGTCTCACACACTGCATTCAGAGCCTCGTGCTACATTCTTGTAGAGTTTATTTGATGTTGTACTGTTACAATCATGGTTTTGGTGATCAAGGCTTCCCCATTTTGCAGTAGGACGGACACACAAAATTATCCTTATAACTGAAGTCTGGTTGGAATTAACGAGACTTTTTGAGCCTTTGAGGAACCTGGATAGCCTGACTTCAATCACCTGGTTAATTAATACTGACTAGCAGGACATTTGATCGACATAGTTGATCTACGTACGATGAACGGGGCCCTGGTCTGTTCTCAGCTTTTTTGTTGTTGTTTCTGTCTCTTTTCTATTTGAAGGACGCTGGATACGAAGAAATAAGACTTGAAGACCAAACCGACCCAGATACTCTCTATTCTAATTATTCCTACAGCCGAGTCATTGATTTACCAGTTGAGAGGCGTAATGGATATTCAGACGCTCTTTATTTAAATCAAGCTGCCATCTTCATGGACAATTCAAGGGGGGCGTGTAGAAAGAGCGCGGGCACATTTGACTCTGTGCACTCTGTTGTTCAACATCCCAAAGAGCAAATGAATCCCTCTGTGCAATGTGAAAGAAATCAACCTGAGAGCAATGAAGAGGACTTTATCTACTCCCTGGCTCAGCAACCACGGACAACCTGAGGGAGGCTACTGTGCTCAAAATGCATAAATTAGCTTTCTAGATCCTTTGTTTGATTTTTGTAGAGATATGAAGTAACTATAGGACAGGGAACAATGCATCACATTAGAAGGATATCCAGACACAATGTCACTTCATTAGTCAAATCAGGAATCAGGAAACATTTATTGCCAAAATATGTCAAACATACAAGGAATTTGTCTTGGCGGTTGGTGCGTGACAGTAGACAGTGTAACAATAGACAACAAGACAGCACTGCACAAGTAATAAAATGAAATGCTAATGCAATGGTTTAGTAGAATAAGGCTATGGGTTAGTATAAAACAAGAGAATAAAGTTAAAGTTAAAAATTTTAAGTATTTAAAAAGTTAAAAAATATTAAACATAAAGTGCACTATCGAACAAAGGCACTCAGAGTGAAATGTTGCCCATAAAACTGGCGATCTAGTCTGCATTGCAATACAAGAAGGAAAATACAAGTGATGTTTTATTTAGTAAAATACTGCATCATTCACCTTGGAATATTAGTGTATTATTGTCATTCATAATTTAAAGTTAAGAACAGTTACAAACAGCAAATGTTATTTTGTGTCTTCTTGCTTTTAGATTTGTCACACTCGTACACATAAACAAAATGGAGACATCCTGCATAGCTGTAAATAGCTGTGGTGTATCAGCCTTTGCTACCATGATTCATCAAGTATTTAATAGATGATGCTTCTTCTTTGTTTGAACAATCTAAAGACTTCGTGAAAACAACCTTATGGAGCCAAAAACTAATATCGCAACTCCAGAGACTCCTGGAGAACAGCTCTATGTGAAAGCCGAGAAATGCAAGTTCCACGCTTGTTCAGTCGCTTTTCTGGGGTACATTTTTGCTAGTGGGCAGGTAAGGGCTGACCCAGAGAAGAACAAGGCTGTGACAAACTGGCCCAGACCCCACAACCGGAATTACAGCGGTTCCTGGGGTTCGCTAATTTCTATCGTCGGTTCATCAGAGACTACAGCAAGATAGCGGCTCCGTTAACCAAACTCACCTCCATCCCTTTCACGTGGACCCCCAAGGCTAAGAGCTAAGAAGGAGCTTCACCTCACCACCCATCCTGCTCTACGGTGTGTAACCGCCGCCAATCACACTGCCTGGAGCGCACAACTCGCATGGATTGAATACGCCCATAATTCCCTGACCAGCACTGCCAGAGGTTTGTCTCAGCCGCCCCTGTTTCCCTCTCTAGAGGGTGACATAGCTGTCCCATCAGTTCAAATGCACCTCCGCCGCTGCCATAAGGTCTGGGGATACACCCGCTCTGCCCTACTCCGCTCAGCTGAAAACAACCAGCGCATTGCAAACCGCCACCGGACACCAGCTTCTGCATACAAACCAGGTCAGAAACTATGGCTTTCCTCCAAACATATTCCAATAAAGACTGAATCAGAGAAACTGGCACAACGTTACTTTCGTTGTGGAGAAGATAAGTAACCCTACAGCTCTGCGACTGGAACTTCTCCGCACCATGAGGGTCCATCCCACATTCCATGAGTCACAGTTGAAACCGGTGTCCACCAGCCCACTGTGCCCTCCACCAGTTCTCCCGCCACCCACCCAGATGATTAACGGGTATCATGCCAACTCCATTCAATGGCTCCTGGATGTACGTCGCCATGGCAGAAGTTACCTGGACTGGGAGGGATACGGTCCGGAGGAGAGCCGTTGGGTACTCTCGGTCCCTCAGTCGTGTAGGGCTCCCAACTTGGCCTTTTTAGTTCAGATCTCCGGGGAGCACAATCAGCAGACTGAAGGATTTGCGAAAATACTTCTTTCGATAATCTTTTATAAAAAAGGCAGGAGATGTTACCGGGTTGGCCCGTACCCTCCCACACACAACAATGGCGGTAGCAAGGCTACTATAACCACTCCCATAACACAGCACCCCCCAAAGTGCGCAACACCTCAACTCTATATCACAGTCATAGCACAGTGTGTGTGTGTGTGTGTGTGTGTGTGTGTGTGTGTGTGTGTGTGTGTGTGTGTGTGTGTGTGTGTGTGTGTGTGTGTGTGTGTGTGTGTGTGTTTTATTTCTATGCAAACAGTTGAAAGGTGGTAACAAGGGATAAATAAGGTAATGGCTTCTTACAGGAAATGAGGTGGTGGCACGCATCTGCTTCATCTTCAAAGATGAATTGGTTTATTCATTCTATTTATTCATCTTTTTCATATAATTTGTCATTTATTAAATGCAGGAATTAAACAGTCACAAACAAAAGTCGCTTGCGATTTTTTAATTTGCTTGCTCGCAAAGCAAAACCTGCTCGCGAGTCGGTTATCTTCTCCCTCTTGAGTAGTTTTTCTTTTTAACAACTAATTGGACTAAAGTTGCTAGTAGGCAGGATAAAGTTATTTTGCGATTGGCCAATAATTACATAAAACTCTAGTAATGGTGAGATTGAAAAGTGGCAGTTGGAAGGTTCCTTTTTCAGACTGGCATGTCAGTCTCAGTGATCAGCTTGTAGCACTCATGAACGGTCCGATGAATGCTTCACCCTTTTCAGCATAAATATGAATTGTAGCAGTGTATTTTCCCTCCTGAGATGTTGAAAACGTGTGTTCTGAACATGACTAATACTACTACATTTTCCAACATACATGCAGCTACATGCAGCTCTGAGAGCGGTTTATGCAGTTCTGAAGAAGCAACTTGCCACCTCCCACTTTTAGAACTCGCGCTACTGAAGTGATTGGCCGATCGCAAAATAGCTTTGTTCCGCCTACTAGCAATTTTACTTCAATTAGATGTTGAGATACAAAGTTGATTAAGTCTGCCCGCTGTCAGGGCCTTTGTGTGGTTTAGCGAGGCTACCCTGTGGGGGTGATACCGCTCTCTGGTCTTAACCATCTTTGTCTTGAGTGGATGGCAGATCTGGTGCACCTGGGAGTTGTGATCCAATGGGGATAAAGCTCCACCTGGTCAGACTACACCTGGCTCTCTTCACTGCATTCCAGATATCAACCGTGGCCTGATTACCCTGCTTGACCCATCTTGTTTTGGGTTTATTTAAGTCACAGAGACACACCTTATACATTACAAAAGATGTGTGTAGTTTTGTCCTTTATTAAATAAATCACTTTTGATCATTTACGCTGCCTCGTTCCGTCTTTTGTCATGGCCCTTAAGCCAGGTTATGAAGCGCCCTTTGCTTGCGACTGTTTTCGCGCGCATGGACCTCATTTGCGCCCTTTGATTTTGAAATTGATTTGCTTTCATACACAGGCTACAATTATATTCTATCAATGGCAATTATTTAAATGAAACATGACAATTTTCTTTAATTGAAATGACAATGAAATAGAAAAATGCTGAACTTGTAAACAATAACAAAGTCTCCCTTTACTTCTTTTAAGGTTGTTATCAGAGCCACCCAGGTGCCGGTTTTAGATGGTCTGACATATTCATGGTGTACCTGCAAATCAAACGTTTAAAAATGAAATACTGTGATTGATCATGAGTTGAGAATGCTTAGAATACATGCTAACTTGGAATTCAATGACACCGTCCACACTAAATCCAGATGTTGCTTTACAGTATTGGCCTTTAATGTGATACATCCTTAAAAGTACAAGCATTGGTACATTGGTAATTAATCCTCCATAAATCGACGTCACATTACAAGGAGGGTCCAGGTAGAAGACGTAGGTGTGTGATGAGTTCTTCAAGCGCCACTCTTTATATATATAAATATATATATTCAATCAATATGATGTTGCACTATTACATTCACTTCTCTTAAAATATTTTTCCCAGCCTCAAATTCAGGGTGAAGAAAGAAAATATTGATATTTGATTTAATCTCATTCATTAAACAATGAAGCAGCTTACATTTTCTGAGCCTAACAATCAAAGCATAATGTTTATAGTCCTTTTAAGGATGAGAAATACAGATTTAGGCCGCCCTCTGCTGTAGCGTCATCAATAAGGGATCATTCTCTGTTCTTCTCTGCTTGTTAATTGTTTGACTCGTGAATGTAAATTTCTATTCATGATATGATCAAATGCCATTACAAGAATTATAATGGGCACTGAGGAGTCCAGTCGCAAAAGCCATTCAGTTATATAGTGATGAGCTAAGCGAGTAAAGAATAACTGCTGACGCAGCTTCATTTCTTGAAACCTGCTACCATCCATTCCATCAAGATAAGTGAGTTTAGTAGCACATTACTGTATATCATAGCATTCACACTAGTGGCTACATCGATACTAAGGCAGAGTGTTAAACTATTATACAAAGCAGTATTAGTTTATTTAAAGCATGCTTGGCTGTAAGTACAGTTTGATTTCTTGGTCCTTGAATTGAAGATATTCGGCATCAGCTTTTCATGCTCCTGTACAACAGATTAAACGTTTCTCTATAACTGTCAATTATCTTTGGATTTTCTTTTTATAAATATTTTCTTGAAACTCACGAAAACCTTTTAGTTTTCTTTTCTGCAATTGTATTTTAATAGATTTAGTTAATATTGCCAGGACAACAAACATCTACAGTTTATTTGTTTTGTATTAAAATCCAAAGCAGCCAACAAATGTATTTAACCTTTCATATTCTTTGTATATTTAACACTGCTAATTCTACTTATTGAATCAAGTTTTTCATAACCTGTCCACAGAATTATGCCTCTTTAACTTTTTCCTCATAAGTGCCGCTGCCCTTGTAAGCGCCCACATAGCCACTGCCATCCGGGATGTCCTCCCGCCCAACTTTTCCTTTTCCTTTGCCGGACTCGTCAAACCGCTCCTTGTGCGCTCCTGTGTACTTGGTGGTGTCAGTCAGTCTGTCCACTGCTGCCGCCTTTGCCACTTTCTAAAAAAACATACACACCTGCATATTACACGAATGCATCCGTCTGCTTACCTTATTTTCGGCTCACTCTCTTTTCAGCACCTTTTATAAATTACTTGTAAGAGAATGTCATTTAAAAGCCATAACGTGTTCAATTTCTGGAGCTACAAGAATGACAATGGCAAAGAACATTGCACATCAATGTCAGACCAGTGGAGGAATCAATAGCATTAAGTTGTTGAGTAAGCAGTTCAGCGTTGTTTAATGACGCCTGCCTGAGAGGGGTGAAAGGCGAGTATGTTGAGGTCAGAAATGACTAAATACTCACAGTGACACCGACGTTGGCAGGCTCCTTACCAACAATGAGACCGTAGAGCTGCTGGAGCGACTCCTCTTTGCTTTTGCCTTTGAAACGTTTGGGAGCCAACTCTGTCAGGGCCTGGTTGAACTGCTCAAATGTGATTACACGAGCTGACTTCGCCCTGAGGAAACACCAAATGTTTATATACAAATAATTTAATGTTCCTATTTACACACAAATTAATGACATTGGCCTAAACTTGTTCTAAATAAGCTCAATGAGGTTAACAATTTAAGCTTTTCAAGAAATATTGGATTGACAATTCAATTTGCTGTACATATGCATGGTATTCATGGAGGAAAGTATGTCAGTAATTCCCTGACTGTTTGAGTCATATTGTTTCCCATGTGACCAGGTGGTTGCAAGTTTTTGTTGTGAATGTTTGAACGAAATCTTACTTGACTTTGCTGAAAACTATGTCCACGTCTGTCGTGGTGACGTTCTTGCCGTCTATTATGGTGCAGTCCTTGCAGATCTTAGCAAAGTTCTTGCCGTTCATCTCCTTTCCTCTGGCTTTTGTGTCTCCATGAACTGCAAACTTCTGGAAGGAGGTTTCCACTTCTGCTACAGATACTGACCCCTCCGCCATGCTGACAGATACACAGAGAAGAAAGTATCACGCTGAAGGTGGTCAACATATCACAATAATCAACAAACACAATGCAACCACTTTGGTGGTTCATTAACTTTATCTCCTTGGCAGGACCTTTAGTAAAATGAAAGAACGTCATGATGACACAATTAGCTAATTAATAGTTGGCCTGCCAGGAAAGTGCTGCCATCATGTTCAGTCTAAGTAAATGCTTTTACTTTCGCTCTCTCACTAGCTCACTTGTACACACACACACATTACACACATCCATCATTATGTGCCTCTTACACTAAAGCTGCAGTAAGAGCCTGATTCTAATTGAATCAGCCCGACTTCCGAACGACTACTCTGCTGTTCTGTCTAATGGTGAATGAGCAAACGTGCTCAATCTCCTCTTTCTCTTCTCCTGGTCTACTCATCCCTCTCACACACACTGATACACACACACAACCTGATGCTGCTTTATGTTAACAAGCAAGGATGTGCATTTAGCAAACATTGGTATATAACAGTCTGATACAGAAAAACCTGATTTCGAAGTAGAAAAAAACAATGAAAATATTTTAAAGCAACCCAATTATTCTAAAGCTTTTGTCCTAATATAAGGAGAATGATTACAGGCATTGAACCTTAAAAACATGATTCACAAAAAAGCATGTGCAGAAATTTCATGTGCGATCCAGTGTTGCTTGGCTACAAGCACTTATGATACAGACACTATTTTTTAATAAGGTACAATATTAAAATAAACCGTAGCATCAAAACATGTGCCCATAAATAATACACATGATTTTTCATTACTGGAGTGTGGAACAATATATCCTGTTATCTCAACAGTTAAATGCTTAAGACATGTCGTGTTGTTGCTGCTGTTTCCATAGCCACTCGGACTGCGCGCTAGTGCGAGAAAACACTGACGCTGATAATGAAAGAGTGAAGCGTACCTGCTGCCGTGAATGAAACGATGCTGTGAAAATATTCAAGAAGATCTTGATGTGCTTGATCCCTTTTTTCGTCCTCTGCCTCTCCTTCTTCCTGCCACTCCCAGGCTTCCTCACAATGACGACAGAGATGGAGGGATACAGAGGAGAGAGGGGGGAGGGGGAGGGAGAAGGGAGAGAGTACCGACCAGCACAGCCAATGACATCATCGGCACTTAGCCTCTCTTGTGTCTATTCACTCTCATCAGCTCCTCGCCTCTCTGCACACAGTTGCTTCTGTGGAAGGGTTTCTGAACCTCTGTTCATTTTAATCCTATTCATTTGTGCCACATCTCCTCACGTCTTCTGCTGTCCGTGTTTTAGCGCAGGTGCTACATCCCCAAAGACTAGCACTCTTTCCTCCATTCTCCCGCTATAAGATTAACCTCAGCTCACAGCTACGTATCGTCATCGCTCCAATGCACTCCCACCCTCGTCCTTGTCTTTTTTTCTCTCTTTTACTGTCATTGTTACAAGAGTCGTCTTGTCTAGACAAAGAGCGGCTCTTCAAAGCACAAAGAGCCCTGGCAGAGTAAAGCTCACACAATGCAGCACCATATACGGCAAACTGAAAATCCTCAAAATGGTGGTAATAATACCCAATTCAATGGGTATACAGTATATTATTAAAAACCAGCATTGTTTCCCAGGTTGTTCAGCATGCTTCCGTGGGAACCCACATAGGTCCATTGAATGATGCTCTTTGCTTTGTTCACAGGATAAACACAACAAGTTGTTTTGACATCATGCACCATCATGACACCACTTAGTGCTCAGTGGAAAGTAACCATCCCCCGGTCACCATTATTGTTACAGGTCATTTAGTTGACGCTTTTATCCAAAGCGACTTACATTGCATTTTTACCCCATGGCTTTTTACATTTTTGCCTGGGGAGCAATTAGGGGTTAAGTGTCTTGCTTGACATTTGGACATGAGACATGGAGCAGCCAGGGCTCAATCCACCAACCTTGCGGTTCCAAGCGCACCCTTTCTACCCCTGCGCCACGTCGACCACCAATTGTAAATACTGAGCAAGTGCACAAGTCTTGTCTCACAATAAATGTTGTTTTTTGGGGAAAATGAAAGTAATCCATTTACATTTATCCCTGAACAAATTATTGACTGGTCTCTGAGATATCTGAGCAGCACGGAGCTGCAGGAAAACAGAAGCTCATGTTGTGAGCCCAAAAAGATCCTGTTGTCAACAAGCATTACAGCAATACAAATGATGAAAGGTTTTGACGCTTTGACCTCATTGTGTGTGTTTCCCTGTAATTCCTGCTTGTTGGGCTGTTCCATCGCGGTGGCACCTGCTGCTGTCTCTCACTCAGGTGCTGGTACACAGGAGATATGGGAAGACGTCACTGTTTGTTTAAAGTACAAACAAAGCCTTTTGTTTAAATATCACCAGACAACGGCAGAGGCAAGAGTTGGAGGAGAAAAGGGAGTAGGATTCTCTGCACAGACCGACATTCAGCGTACTTAACCTGTTCAAATTAGATTTTCTGATCATAAATTCTTCAAATATTCGTCTCATCCAACATCACCATGGCCGAATCCGGTTTCCCTTTCCCCCCAGAGGAATACTGTCCGCTGTGCGCGGATTTACCCATAGACCCGGTCACCATCCCCTGCGGTGACACCTTCTGCCTGGAGTGCATCAAGATCTACTGGGACCAGTTCGACCACATGGGCGTGTACAGCTGCCCGCAGTGTCGCTCCAGCTTCACGCCGCGGCCCGTGCTGAGACGCAACGTGCCCGACGTCAACCACGAGCCCCGGCGCCAGCTCCCGGCGCTCACCCCCTTCCCCTACATGCAGCGGGAATCCCTGTGCGACTTCTGCGTCGGCCGTCGCAGCAAGGCCGTGAAGTCGTGCCTCATGTGCCTGGCCTACTACTGCGAAACGCACATCAAGCCACACTACGAGTCGTCCACCTTCAAGAGGCACAAGCTGGTGGATGAGACGGGCCACCTGGACAGGAAGATCTGCCCGCAGCACGAGAAAGGCCTGGAGCTGTTCTGTCGCACTGACCAGATGTGCGTGTGTGTGTTGTGCACCGTCAGGGAGCACCGCGGCCACAACATTACCTCGGCAGAGGAAGAGCGCATCGAAAAACAAGTGAGTCTGGATTGTGTGGCGGGTATTTGAACGGAGAACAATGCTGTCAGGGGTTTAATTTAACATCACAGCACCTGACATGAGCCCGTTTTTTCCATCAGAAAGTCCTAGTGGTCACCCAGACTGAGGTCCAGCACATCATTCAGGAGAGGATGAAGGAGCTGCAGGACCTCAAACACAACGTGGATGTTCTCAAAGTAGGATCAGATGTTTCCTCCTTACATAATTCAATCCTTACTGATTCGATTTTGTTTTTTAAAATATCAACCCTTTCCTAAACCTCTCGACCAACTGGTTCTGCCCTTCAGAGTGCTGCCCAGCGAGCGCAGACGGAAAGCGATAAGACCTTCCACGAAATGCTGCAGGCGGTGGAGCGCTGGAAGGCTGAAATCCATCAGATGATAACGACCAACATGCAGTCGGCGATGTCGCAGGCTGAGGGCTACTTGGACCGCCTGGAGCAGGAGATACTGGAGCTCCAGCGCAGAGATGCAGAGCTTCGGCAGATTCTGGAAACAGAGGACAACATTCACTTTCTGCAGGTCGTTTAGAGATTGTAAAGGGCTGCAAGAAACTGAACTATTTGTGTCTTAACACTTATTGCAACCATTGCAACACTTTTTTTTTTTTACAAACAAACATACTAAAACTAAAATGCACTTTCCTCACTCAATGTGAAAGTACACTTGCACTTCTTTGAAGGTGGTAAATTCATGTTGCCTGTAAACATTTTTTCCTGCTCCATGCGCTGTTTGAAAAGAAGATGATCATTACGGTTTTAAATGAAACGGGGAAAGATACTGATTATATCTTTTTGGTCAGGCATGGGCACTGTTTGTGTTTTTGACCTGACTTTGGATTCCCATTGATTGATTGAATAGAACTTTCCATCCCTGTGTGTTGCTCCTGAGGCCATGGTTCCCAAAGTGCTCATCAACCCTCAGTTCTCCTTCGGGGAGATGAGCAAGAAGGCCACCGAGATGAAGGAACATCTGGACATCATCTGTAAGAAGGAATTAAGTGAAATCTCAAAGTCAGGTTTGTAAATAGCAGATGAAATTCACAAGATATTTATACACTATGAAAACTGTAAAGGAGCACGCTAACCTGTATCATCCTCACAGTGAGTGAAACGCCCGTCTACATCCTTCTACCCAGAAATGGAGAGAAACGACTGAAAGGTAACAGACAACTTTACTTTGAAGCATAGATGAGTATTAATGAATTACTTAATCTCATAAAACAATATATTTTAGTATTATATGACTAAATGAATTACGTGGAGAAACTTAAACCAACATCTAATTACCCCTGGAGACATTTTATGTTGTTATCTCTTTAAAATATATCACAAAATAATGTTTGTCCACTTTATTTATTTTTTAATTCCAAACAGTTCCTTCCAGAGTTCATTTTCAGGAGCCAAAAACCAGGACAGACTTCTTAAGATGTGAGTTGAGTCTTTATAGTTCAGTCGATTCAATTTTTTAAGAAATTAAAGAAACTACTTGGACACACTTGCAAACGAAACATGTGTTTGATAAAACAGTATCATCAGATATCTCACAAAGAAGCTTTTAACAGATTTATTATATTATAGGAAAACCTGTTTGAGATGAGAGGCTTTAACTGTGTGTAACATGGGTATTGCTAACGTCCTCAGGACACTACGTGAGGATAGAAGGAGAAGAGAACAAGATGAAGGGAAGGCTACCGAGTAGACGAGCGGATATATACATATACATATATATATATATATATATATATATATATATATATATATATATATATATATATATATATATATATATATATATATATATATATATATATATATATATATATATATATATATATATATATATATATATATATAGGCTTATGTAGTGGAAGCATATCAGTGATATAATTTGGCCCTAAACCATGTAGTGATTTATATGTGAGCAGTAGGATTTTGAAATTAATTCTCTGACACACTGGGAGCCAATGTAAGGATTTAAGAATTGGTGTAATGTGCTCACATTTTTTGGTCTTTGTTAGAACTCTAGCAGCAGCGTTCTGAACAAGCTGGAGCTGCCTGACAGTTTTTTTTGGAAGACCTGCAAAGAGACCATTACAATAGTCTAGCCTACTAGTTATAAAGGCATGTACAAGTGTTTCTAAGTCTTGAGCTGACATGAGCCCTCTGAGTCGTGCTACATTTTTGAGGTGGTAGTAGGCCGATTTTGTTACTGATTTGATGTGACTCTCCAGGTCTAGGTGCAAAACAGACTGAGGGAGGGATAATAAATGGATGAGTAAATGTTTATGATGACATTCCATAAAACACATATGTGTATGACCGTCTTTGCTCAGACGCCTGCAGGATGTCCTTGGATCCAAACACAGTTTATAAAGAGCTGGCCTTGACAGACGGGAACCAGAGCGTCACGCGGAGGAAAGCGGTCCAGTTTCACCCAGATCACCCCGAACGCTTTGATGGCTTCTCGCAGGTGCTGTGCAAAGAGCCTCTGACTGGTTTCAGATTTTACTGGGAGGCCGAGTGGAGCGGGGAGTTTTCCATCGGAGTGGCCTACAAGAGTATCAGCCGCAAGGGGAAGAACTCGCACAGCCTGCTGGGCTACAACGACAAGTCTTGGAGTCTTCTCTGCTCAGACTCGGGATACTCTGCCTGGCACAATAAAGTAGACAAAGACCTTCCTGAAGCTCCCAGGGCCACACGAATCGGTGTGTACTTGGATTGCGCAGGCAACACCGTGGCCTACTACGCGGTATCAGAGACTATGGAGCTTATCCACAAATTCAGAGCTCAGTTCAGTGAGCCTCTGTATGCTGGCTTTGGTGTGGGCTCCTCTGTCACCCTTTGCCCACTGAAGCAGAATACCACAACTCACTGAGAGTTTCTGTGATCAGCGATTATCTCCCAGGTACTGTTAACACGAGCTGACAGCATCATGTAATGTAATTGTGTGCAAAATAATAGAACATATACCCCTTCTATGCATGGATTTCTGACCACATTGTGTCTGTTCCTGTGAAGATGTTCTGAATGTTCAATGAATACATACAAAAAAAAATGGCATTGTACCTTGAATAAGAACACAATCTTCTAATAACAAGGCCGGCTTTTAACAGGGAGGAGCATTTAGTGATTGAAACAATCAGCAGATAAATGACAAATAATTTGCTCTCGCTATGTTTGTGTGTGTGTTTTATGTATCTTATGTATGCCGATGCTGTTAAAAAAAGGTTGGCTAAAGTTTTTATTGTCCTACAAATAGCAACTTTTAAGGGAAAGCGATGACGTAAAACACTAAAAACTTTTGATTGTAAAGCAGCACAAGATACTTATTACACATCTCATATTAAACACAAGCGGTTGATCATACCAATATATTAATTCATATTTATATGAGTATTATAAAACCATGTAATTTAACTACTGCATATTTATTAAACTTTGTCTAGTGGCCCATTTATTTTGACTCATTACTGCTTCTAGAATTAATCTTGTTGGCAAATTACAAAAACACAGTATGTGTTTACGGGCAAGTGCATTTACTATAGTTTCCCCATCCTATAAAGATATACCATAGATGGGACAAAGCATTTTATATACACTAGATTAATCAAAACAATCTTAAAAGCCTTTTTCTTTGTGCTGTTGCCCGTGTGTTGGCCCCTCGGCTCCTCCTCTGGTGTTTCAGAATCCTGAGAACTAATAAGCAGCAGAAAGTCATCAACAGCAAGAAGAAAAGATGCAACGCTGGCAACATCAAGCATCAAACCCCGCTTTGAAGATAAAAAGTCACGCGGAAAGCTAACTAGATTTTCCGCCATTTTCAATTTTGTGAAAAACACATTTTTTCCCATTTGTCACTCATCCAAATCGAATGCTCTCCCCACCGATGGTTACGTCCTCTGCCTTAGAGTTAGTGGAAGACGAGGGAAGCTTCTGAAAATGTCCCTCCAATCCCTGAGTGACACCTTGTGGATGTGTACTATCAACCTGAAGTGAAATAAACATGTAACTAGTAACCAGATTTAGTCTTGTGATGGAAATTTGAAGGAAATTGTCTCATGTATGGTATTTTGAGAGGCTTTAATTCTGGAATAGTACATCAGAATGTCCTGGTTATCCCTAAGTGACACCTTCAGGATGTGCACTATCAACCTGAATTGGAATTAGTATGTGTGAGGGGTCAGGACTTCGACTCAGGTGCAGAGCAATAAGGCAACAAAAACTTCTTTCCAGGTTTGGGATCTTTTACTTGGAAAATAAACTAATGCAAGACAAAAGGGTGCACAGGCAAAGGCGGAATCCACACGCTCTTGTAGAAACAAAAAAGGAAGAGGGCCTGGCAACGAAGTAAAAACAAGATAACCAAAAAACAGCACTGGGAATTTCTAACTACAAACATGCACCTCTGGGAAAGACAAAAGATGACCTGACACAGACCAGTGGGGAACTGAGGCTTAAATACAGGGAGGTGATTGCAAACTAAACTCAGCTGTGGGGAGAAACGAAGGGTGAGAAACTAAATACAGGAAGGTAATCTTCACTGTCTCTTCGAGTCAACACAGTATGTAACTATTGATAGATACCATTCTACTCACAAATTAATCAGATCACTCTCAAATGTTGTCAGAAAAGACCTCAGACCTTAATAATATTTAAGATGAAGTTTGCAAAGCCGCATTCCTGGTGTCGCACCTTATGGTGAACAACCACTGACTCTTGGACGCTTTGTCTGGCGGCCGCAGGAGTTCGCGGCTGCGTTTCTAGCCGTCCGGCCGGTGCACCGTCATGCGGAGTTGGCGGCCCGTGCAGATAAAAACAGTACTGTTTCTCAAGTACCTGAGTCTTTTTTAGAAAGCCTGTTATTTTACTGGTTTAGACAGTCTGCCATGCCCAGTCCGCTGCCTCCTGACACATCAATATTGAATTGAGAAGTTTTCATAACCATTGAAAAGTTCCTTGTAATAACTGTAACATTAGACTGGTATATTTTATAGGTAGTGAGTCCTATTGTGAGACTTGAGACAATGTGGCCCATACATTGTTTACAACCCACAAACTTTCCATAGAACAGAGTCAAAACACAAACAACTAGGCGGTAACTGTAAATCTAAATGTTTTATTTATTGCTCAGTTTTGGTATTGAATTGTACAAGTGTTTCTAGTTTTCTGGTATCTCAAAATATTTCACACATGGACAAATCAATGGTACAAATCCTGGAGTCAAAGCAGATATGTGACACGTAAATACAAACTGCCATGCAATATAATGTTAACAAAAGGGATGAAAAGACAAAAAAGTACAACTTTACTCAAGACACATATTTCACTTTTTTTGAAAAACTACTTGGAGTGGAAATACACACATCTGACACTAAATGGATACAGACAAATAAACAAACTTTCGTGGCTACTTTTACATGAAATCATATACAGACAGCTGTAATGCAATCTGGAAATAGGACTTTTTACTGCCCTCTATGGCCTTTGGTAGGTTGTTTGGTGAAAAGCAAAAGAGCGACCTATTATTGTAGGAGTATTGTAAATTATTACAATTGTAGCAATAATTTGCCACCTACATCATGTATCACCTCTCAGGCAGCCCTGCGGAGGTAGAGCAGTGGGTGGATAATCCCAAGCCAAACCATTACAGAGTAGGCCAACGGCTGCAGAATACACAATGTGTCCCTGTCCATTTCCTGAACCATGCAGTACACTGTGGCCAGCGGCAGGTAGCCTACAAACGCAGTCACTTGGAGGATCAGCACTATAGTAAAAGCCCTTTTCTTGATCAAGTTGGATCCCTGCCTCTCCCCCCCACCTGGGGAGGGCTGTTTCAGAGCCCTGAGAAGTGATGAGCAGCAGAAAAGGTTTAAAAAAAATACAAGGAAAAAATAGATTCTGTATATAACTAGTGATTCCAAATCATTATCGCAAAATATCATTTGGGGCACACCAGCCAGAATGGTTACCAGCCAGACAACACAACAAAAGCTCATCCTGTACCGAAGGAGTTTATACCTGCGGTACAGCACTGGCCGCACGACTGCAAAATAGCGTTCTATGCAGAGAGAGATCTGGAACTGAACCCTTACCGTGAACATTAAGTTGGTGAGTTTAAGCATTCCGTTTGCGAATCCCTTGTTGGAAAAAAGGGTTATGGCCACTAGAGGTGGCCCAAGGAATCCTAAAAGCATCTCTGTGATGACCAAGTTGAACTCACACACTTCCATCTTGTCTGTCCAGAAGACTGGAGATGATATCATCCGGCAGAGCACCCAGCCATTTGTTGGCAGGGAGACCAAGAAATAAGGAGGAATCGTAAGGTAATAGAGAAGAGACTGCAAACAGAGATCACACTGCCAATCCGTCAGGTTCTTTCCTTCTGCTGTGAGGTTTTGCATGTTTTCTGCAAAGTGATACAGGAAGAAAAACACACTATCGTGAAATGGAGAGTGGAGGTGTACACATTCTACACCTGACTCAATTCTACGTAAATTACTAAAATAGGACAAAATACTTATTTGATCTAGTTAAAGTTCAAATTAAAAATATTTTAAAAGATATTTTGTAACTTTTTTAATATTTTTAATTTTAACTTTAACTTCATTCTCTTATTTTAAACTAACTCATAGCCTTATTCTACTAACCCATTGCATTAGCATTTTTTTATTTTATTTTATTTTATTTTATTTTATTACTTGTGCACTGCTGTCTTGTCTATTGTTACACTGTCTACTGCCACGCACCAACCGCCAAGACAAATTCCTTGTATGTTTGACATACTTTGGCAATAAATGTTTCCTGATTCCTGATTAGTTGTCAAGGGAGCAAAGTGTTTCATATATCAGTGGCATATGTGAAATTAACATACATTAACTGGCACACAAATGGATTTATGAGAGGAGAACATTTTAATTTCAACTCTTAATTTTTGGGTTAAAAGCCGAAAAGCCAAAATATTTTTTCTTCGGAATCTAATCCACATTGAAGCTTTAAAGTGGTCATGAGGGATTATTCATGAAATATATATTTCACATAATGAAAACAAATTGTAGAAACAAAACATAGCCCTAAACAATTAATGCATTTGTTGTTTAATATTTTAAGTTGAAAGATAAAGACAAGAAAGTTAAAAGCACCCACCTTGTCTTTACCCGAATTTGTTACAGTGTATTTTTAAATGTACAGCAAGATGTCTGGCTTCAATCGCATCAGCTAGAAAACATGCTCCATAAAATATATGTGTACGACGCCTGCAGGATCTCCTTGGATCCAAACACAGTTTATAAAGAGCTGGCCTTGTCAGACGGGAACCAGAGGGCCACGCGGAGGAAAGCAGTCCAGTTTCACCCTGATGGTCACTAACCAAATAATGCCCAAGTGTAATGTGCTGGCATGCAAAACCTGTATATATGTGTAAACAATTTTACTCAATTGGGTTTGGTGTTCAGCTCTTGTGGTAAGCAGAGATTAAAATATACAGACTTGCATATAGTAACCATGGAAAGGTGGAGCATTGTATGTATCAACACATATAATGCAAGGCTATTTTATTATAACTAAAATTATAGGAAAACCAGGGCTTAATGTTTCTATGTTTGCAGGAAAAAAAACGTTTACACATTATCGTAAACCTGTAAAAGTTTATAGAGCATTCCATATATAGACCATAATACGGAAAGAAATTAATAATTTAATAGAAACTGTTTGAGAATCTAACATTTTCAAATATTGTGTCTTCTGTGCCATGATGTTGTGTAAAACTCATTTAAACCTTTCAGCGACTTCTCACAGAATCTTGCCTGATTCAATATAAATGAGCCAAAGCTTTGTACAACACTGCTTCACTTGTTGTACCAGCCATGTCGCTGTATGCAAACATACAAGCGTTGGAGGCAGTCAACCAAAAAGCTGCTACAGGAACGTTTGCATCGGCTTTGTTGTTGATATTGAGTTGTTGGCATGCATCCCCAAGGGTTGGCTCAGGTTGGTCATCAGCTGCAGGCCTTTCATAACACTGCTTAACCCATTCAAATCATTCTTACTTGGTCATTAATCATACGAGCATGCATGCAAAACAATATTGGAAAAAGACGAAAAACATTCAGTATTTGTGAAAAGGGTATTTTATTATATTCTAGAGGATTTTACAAGCATCTTTTTTGGTAGATTATATTTATCAGAGCAGGAATGACAAATACGTCAGAACAAAGATGTAATATAAAAGTTCTAATTGTTTTCCGAATTACGTCAACTCTGGCTTTTGCAATATTATAAAATGAAAATATATATTTTTTGCATTCATAACCAATTAAATTTTGAGAACGTCATGACATCTGTGTTTTGCTTCTAAAGGCCTCTATGTTATTTTGCAAGTTACACGCGTGAGACCGTTCAACTCAGAAAAGAGCACAATTCAAATTTGAAAGAATCTTTCTAGCACTCTTCAGTTTATAGACCACCTCACACGGAAGACTCTTCTGGCCAGATCGCCTCTCAATATCTGTGACTTTAAATACTTCATAAGGCGGAATCAGTGCTTCCCTCTCGGACTCCCCGAGTTTAGAATACAAAGAGATGTCTGCTCCGGAGCATGTGATAATCTCAAAGCACGACTTGTCTCCAAATCTTCCAGCGCTGGGGTACCATCCCATCGAGGTGGAGGTGAAAGAGCCAAAGCGTATCCCTTTGTTGAGGACATCTTGGCTGAAGTAACGGTCGACTCTGCGGTAGCCAGTGAGACATCTTTCCTCTTCAGGTTTGCGAGTGTTGAGAGTTTGGATGGCGTCAGTGAGGAAAAAGTGAAGAGTGTGATATCCAAACGTTGTCTTGTACGTGGATTTCTGGGTTCGAACTGCGTAGTTGAAATCCCGATAGATTTTTGGATTGTCGAGGGTATAAACGTAAATAGCCATGATCCGTTCTTTCCCCAGAGAGGTGGAAGGCCACGTTCCTTTTCTATGCTTCCATTTTGTGTTGTAGTGTTTTTCTGCCAACCCCCAGGCAAGGGTGAAATTTTTGTCTTTGTTTTTCTCATTTGCCAGGAACTCCTTCTTCACTCTGAACTCCATCTTGTCTTTGCAACCAGCGTACATGTCGTCAACAGCGTTCAGGGCCAAATCCAGGGGAACTTTTAAAATAGGTTCTGCAGAGCTCTGAAACAAAAATATTACTCAGATACACTCTTACCTACAAATGGCACCACGAAACAGTGACACCAAAGCAAGCCACTATCCACTTTTTACACTACCGTTGCAAATCCTGTGCAGACTCCACATATCATTAACACTGCAGCCCAAACTGCCATCATCCATCAGCTTAGTGACCTGCACACAAACGTACACTTTTTCAGCATTTTCTAGGCCCACGTTATCATTCCATTTTCGATTACTGTATGTTTTGATTATTAACTTTGGATGGATTGAAACAAACTGGACTCCAGCTATTGGTTGTAAATCTATGTTAGAAATTACAATTTGTTTTTTTCCCCCACTTACCACAGTTTGATTCTCACATGTAGCTCTACATCGGTGAAGTTATTTGTTAAACTCAACTCCTGTTTTACTTTCACCAGCTGTAGGTCATTGCAATTAGGGGCAGGACTGCGAGGCCAAATTATTTCCTCTTTGATTGTAAATGGATTAAAAGGGTCCGTGCGTCAGGGAATCATAAAATGAGAATACTTCAAAGCAACGACAACTAATGTTTTACAGAAACATGCGTTGTTATATATATTAAAATTAGCTTTATTTCATGACAGCAATCAAAATGGTTTGCAATCCATGTCATCCCAAAACAGATCAGATATACTGAAATGTATGAAACACTTTTCCACGGTCATGCTTTGGATTTCTGCACATGGACAAACAAAGGGTGTTATCTATAATTTTAAAAAAGGTGGAAGAAAGCAAAGACGAATATTTTATTTATATATTTTCTCTTTCACCACATTCATCCATGCTACCTTCCTGTCTGCACACCTGCACACCGGATTGTTTCACAAGCTGCGAGCTCAACAGCTATGAGCACAATGTCCATGTGATGGGTGTGTTTTTTGATGTGGAGAAGGCCTATGATATGGTTTGCAAGGAAGGGTTTATGGTTAAATTAAGGGTTTATGGTTAAATTTTTGCCTGACAGATTTATTCACATCAGCACTCTCGACAAATTAGTCCAATACTGTCCATTATGATTAATGATGTGACCTTTGAGTTCAGGGGATATTGGACAATCCCAGAATAATTAGGAAATGTAAGAATATTGTATATGTAGAAAGGTGTCTAGCAGGGTCAAAATGGGGAACCAGTAAGTATGAAATAAAAAGTATGCATATCATTTTGATACGAGCAGTCTTGACTATGGTAGTGTGGTATTTAGGTCAGCGGCAAGATTAATCGTTAATGAGGCGGGAAGTAGCGCAATCCCAAGCTCTGAGACTGTTGCTTTCAGAACAAGACTTGTGAGATGCTCTTATTAGTGTAAGAGCATCTCACTAGTGAACGTAAGAGCGTCCCACTAATAAAGCGCTAATATTCCGCCTTTCTTAATATGCTTTTAAGTCCGGACTTGCCCGTCCTTGTTTATAAATACTACCATATTTACATCACGGAATGTAATTTTAGGATTTTTTAAGACAAGAAGTTAGCTGCGGTCGTTTTTTCAACATTCGGTCTTGGAGATGTGAGGTCTAGTTAACTTTTGTGAAATACTCAGACGAGGCTGAGCGCCCGGTACTGGTGGAGTCAGACGGTCTCGTTAACTAGACCTTGCATCTTTGACATCCTCGGAGCATTTTGTTACGAAGGCTAAATGTTGACAAACCGACTGAGAAAATGTGGAGGATATGCTTTCCCTCCGCAGCCTGATATATTTCTGTCACACAATTGACCACATCACAGTTTATTTTCATCCTTACTGCATGTTATCTAACTCCCCTGTCATTTCAGATCCTCCCACATCATCAGCTCATTACCCTCACCTGGTTCTCCTTGCCCTCACCTGAAGCACATCCCCTCATCAGCCACTCACTATTTAAGCCCGTCACATTCAGTTGTTCCCTGCCAAATTGTCTTGAGTGTGTTGTAGAGTTTTCCATCGTTTTCGTAGTTATCCCGATTTACCGCTGTTTCGACCCTGCCTGCCTTTTGACCCCCAGATTCCCTGTCTGCTCCATTTCTGGATTTGTTCGCCTCCATGATTGCCACCCTGGTTCTGCCTGTTCCGGTCTACGGATTCCCTGCCTGCCTCTCTCAGATTTGTTTGCCTCCTGACCGATCTCCCGGTTTTGACCTTGCCTGACCTGTTGATTAAATCTACCCGTCCCTCCCATCTTGGTCTGAGTCGTGCTTTTGGGTTCCATCGTGAACCGGTACCAGTAACCGTGACAATTTCAGACTGAAAGAATAAAATTTTCAAATTATTTTAAATTAAATTACATGTGTTTTTAGCTATAAGTGTTATTGCAATTTTAAGGCAGAGAAAATCAATTCAAACAGTCAATACAAACAGCAGGAAAATTAATGTCAGCAAATGTGTGTCAGTGTTTATTAGGGCTGTCAAAAATGACGTTTGAATATTCACTTTAAATAAATATATTCGAATACATTCGAATATCTGGTTGCAGATTAGGCATGTCAATATCAGGAAAAATTAATACGAGACATAACTACTAGAATAGGTACTTTATTTAAGTTTAAACAGATTTAACAAGACCGCAGACCTCTCTCGAATATTAATTTGCACATTCGAATAGTTAACAACTATTTGAATATGTATTCGAATATATAATATTCGTTGACAGCCCTAGTGTTTATTAACCTTTTATGCACTTTTTTTAGTTTTCCTACGGGCTAATTTAACTGAAACCATAAGTTTTATGAAATATTTCCAAGCTACAGTAGCTGAATATTTGACAGTTTGACAGGCATTAAAAGTGACTTCTTCTGATTATGGTCTGCTGCGCGCCAACAAGTGCAGCAGCTCCAGTTGGGGGGAGCTGGTAGTTTATGGTAATGGTAATTAGTGTATATTGGTTGATGTCCATAAGAAGCAGTACATGGAAGGACTTCAGAGGGGGTTCAGGTACTCTTACGTGTATTTAAAAAGACAACATCACGTGACTTAAGTGATTCTTTAAAATGAAGACATTTTTTTTTACATACATTTTTATCGGTAGATTTTTTGGTAAATTCCAGTACTTGCGTTTAAAAGGGAACTGACGAATCGGTCAACAAATGCATCCTCAGGAGGAGGCAGCCGAAGAAATGAGACTCAGGAAGTCTGTTGAAGAAACTCTAACCAACCAGTGTCAATGAGTCCGCTGTACTGAACTGCTGGGACTGAAACCAGTAACAGTGTATTTCACTCGGTGTTGTAGATCAGGTGGCGTTTTTCTTTTGCAGCTTTCTACTTTAATCCTAAACTGGTCCTAAATGCGCCATTTCTGTAAGGGAAGTCACTCTTAATTCTTCCACTGTATCTATTAATGTGTTTGTTTTATTTTTACTTCCATTTGAGTTTGATTTTGTTCTTTATTGTAATTGTTTACTTTCTCAGAAACAGAAAAATAAACTTTACTAGCTATTGCAACACTGTCATTTGATCTGTTTACCATCCATGTTCAAAGCCGCTCATCCTTCACACAAGGTCGCAGGGGGGCTGCAGTCGATCCCAGCCAACATCGGGCAAAAGACGGGGTCCACCTTGGATTGGTGGCCAGCCAATCGCAGGGCTGACAAAGAGACAAACAACCACACACAATTTAGTCACCGATTAACCTGATCCCCAGAGGATGTCTTTGGACCCAGAGGAAGCAGTGATGTTATATATTATAATATAACATTTTTAATGGTAGATATTTGGGTAAATTCCAGTACTTACATTTAAAAGTGAACTGACCAATCGGTCAACAAATGCATCCTCAGGAGGAAGCAGCCAAAGAAATGAGACTCAGCAAGTCTGAAGAAACTCTTTTGAAAGTATGAGTCAGGCTAAGGCTGTTGTAGGGAAGTTTATTGATTACAAATATCTCTCAAAACATCAATCAACAGTATTATTCAATCTTGGTGTCAGATTGGAGAAATAAATGATGTGACTATCTAGTGCAACCCCAAAAACATGTCCGTTTAGCCAATTGAGTTTAGTCCAGAATCTAGCAGCCGTTGTTATTTGAGCAGATTCAGGAACTTTTACATTGGCATCACGCAGACATCCACACACCATAAGGAACATTGATACTTCCTTTGAGTAACTGTAAATGATTCAACTTATTTAAGTTATAGAAAAATAAAATCATTAAAAAGTGATATGCGCATCATATTATTGACATGAAAGGAAATTATATTTTACTAAAGCTTTGGAAAATGAAAATATCTGAAAAGCTTAAAATAATGAATTCCAGTGTAATTTCCATGTATGCTATTCAGTTCCAAAGGATAGAAAAAGCAACACTCAAATAGATATAGCGGGATATGCTCTCTGTGGGGCTTCCTGCAGATGTTGTGTTAAGTGCAGCTGTAGTCATGGATGTTGTGTTAAGTACGGGGGCAGCAGTGGACACATTCGTGGTAGATTCTCTAGCCTGTCCCACACATGTCCCCACATTACCTACCCGGTCCACAGCAGCCAGCACTACATTCTGTGAGCAGCAGGAGGCGCTGTAGGTAGCCACTGTAATGTTTTCCCCCTCTGCTCCAGTCGCAGTGCTGGTGTTTAGGGTACCGTTCCCTTGGCGGATGGTCAGGCTCTCGATGCCAGTTCCGTTGATGCCATCGGTGAGATTGGCAACGAATTCCCATTGGGAGGAAGTACAGAGCGCTGGGGAGGAGGGACAATTGGTGGATGAACTGACTACCTGGCACACTGGGCGGGTAATATCCGTCACCTGGAGAAACCGGGAGATAAACAAAAAAGTCAGGAGTGTGATGTCTTTGTTTACCAAAATGAACCTGGAAAAGAACCAGAACAGGATTTTTTCTTTGATTAACTTTAAATCGTATCAGTAATTTCAACAACCCTTTGATCCATTAGTTTAAATAAAACAACCAACAACACCCGACAATTTAAGAATAGAGATGAAACACAAATGAAACACATGAATGTATTTTGTATTTGACCATTACTCAATGTAGGTGATACCTGTGATATGTTTATGTTACACGGACTGCTCGCCTCCTCTTACCTTGGCAACAATAGACAACCTGAGGACGGTGAAGTTGATGTCGTTGGCAGCTGTGTTTTCTGCCTGAATGGTAAGAGTCACGTCTGTTCCTGACACGGCACTGGCTGGTGCTGTTAAGGTGACGGTGCCGTTGGCTTTGCCCGCTGCTATGGTAACGGTGTCGGGTGCAGTTAAAGAATAACCACGGTCATTGTTCACTTGGACTGTGAAAGTCCCGGTTGCAGAGTCATTAACAACTCCGTTGGCGGTTGTGGCAACTGTGAAAGGGACTGAGATGGTGGAGCCTGGTTCAATGTTGCTGTTGTTGGCTTGAGCCTGAAGTGATGGTGAAAAGCAGAGGGAGGGACGGGGAGAAACAGTTACGCATATTCTACATATATTCTGATGTATGGAATAACATATCAGTAGTGCCTGTGTCATGGTAGCCTTGAGTGGGAAGAAGCAAAAAGGACAGGGTGCTTGTGGATACGTGTGACAAGTTCAGAATGATTTCCTACTTCTATGTTGGACCTTGTTATAATGAGGATGGAGAAATGATGGCAGGCCCAAAGAAGCTTGACTCATTAAAGAACTGCAAAAACCTGCGTTTGGTCAAATTCATCTGAATATTCCAATCAGCGAACGTAATCAAAACATATTCCATTATCAGACCTGATTGCCAGTTGCCAAAGAGGAAGGAGGGAGAAGAAGTTACAGATAAAAACAATTTTATGTTGTAAATAAAACAGAGCAAAGAAACTGTGATGTTACATGAGAGTGATGTTGATCGGTCTGTCAATCAGTTTGGTCTAGATTAAGATATTTCTATTTCCTAACTATTGGATGGATGAGCAACACATTTTGTGAGGACATTTTAGGTTCCATGAGGATGAGGACTATGAACTAAGGTGACTTTTACCTTTACGCCACAATAAGGAAGACACTTGTTATTTCAAGTGCAGCATCTCACCAAAAATAACAACAAATGTTACTTTTCCCCCAAAAGAGGACTTAATCATTTGTTTTCCTTTGATATTTCCTGTATAAATGAATCTCAGTCCAAAAAGTACATTTTTTTGTTTTGTTTCAAGACAAAATAAATTACATTTCCTTCATCTTAATCATTGTATGTTTAAGATAGTAAACAAGGTAAACATGATATTTGCTAAACATCTGCATATTAGAGTAAGGATGTTAGGAGTTTGCTCAAAACATCGCTGCAGAGATCCAAACATGACTCAACTATGGCGATACTGGTTCTATGTTTTCGTGTTTTACAAGGATAAACTGCTGGTTATTTCATTGAATTGCCATTAGCTACTCCAGCGGTTCTGAAGTGTCAAAGTGAAGAAGTGAGAGCGACTGAGAACGAGATTGAGCTTACAATAACAGAGATGCTGGATGTCGTGATCTGTGTTGAGGCTTGTCTCTGGAAGCTTCTCTGCGTTGACCTGGACGTTGAGCTGGTTTCCTCTCCTCTCAGGCGAATCACAAAGTCACCTGCTGGGACTCCACTGAATGTCACCAGGAAGTTACCGCTTCCCACAGACTGTGTAGGACACATAAAGAACGTAAGAGCATGACATGGTCACAATGACAAGACGTCATCTGTTGTTGACTACTAACTTCTGCTAAGTTGAATATCTGGACTGTAATGGAAGTCTCTCTATTGCAGCCTTGCACTGTAAGTTAGACTGTGGCAACTGTCAGTGTGTCTAGTCTTCAAGATGAGGTGAGGATCAGCGACCAGAAAGAGTTCTAACAATAACTACAATTACTTTAAAGCAAGTAGAGACTAGCTACTCTGTGTCGCTCTTTTAAGTTCATCAAGTGAATGTGCAACATGCCTGCAGTGATCCGTTGACTTCTGTTGTCCCTGAGCTGTCCAACAGAGTGACCTCTGTGACCTTTACCGTGTCACTTTCTGTCACAGAGACCAAGAGACTGGCATTCCCACCTAAAGGGTGAAGGCAAGAGAGGCATGAGTGTGACTGCTCCATCATCGACTTAAACAGTGTTTGCACCCAACTAGGTGACACACACACACACACACACACACACACACACACACACACACACACACACACACACACACACACACACAGACAGTACCAACTTTAAGACTAAAGATGAGAATAATTGTTGTGTGTTCTGACCTGAAAGCGGACGTCCCTCCTTCAGGCTGAAGTCCCCGCGGCCTCCCTCATCAGCTTCCACGAGATTGAAAATGAAGTTCACTGAGCTTTGACCTGATGTACATATAGACATCACAAATAATAGTAGGGTTATTATTTGTGATGTCACTGCTGTAAACAAAGGTTCTCTCACAGAAACCAGTTATTTCTATTCTGCTGCTTACCTGTGACCTTGACAGAGTAGGGGTCGTTCGAGTTAACTCTAATCTCCCATAATCCGGTTTGATTGTCAGTGTTGATGTTTAAACGGTGCAGGTTTCCTGCTGTGGTGAAAGACGCCAGAGGGCCACTGGACTGACTGGAACTCTGAGTAACACCTAGAGGAGGAAAAACATGCTAGAATTTTTTCTAGTGACAGTCGTGGGAGTTAAAGGGAAATGGAAGAAGTAAAACAAGACGTCATTTGAAGCACAAAAGCAATCACCAAACCTGTTGAGCTGGTGAGCTCAAAAGTGAGAGAGGATGTTCCTGTGATGTAAGCAGTCATGTTCCTTAGTGATCCATCAACAGTAAACGTAAAATTATCAGGCCGTCCGGGATTCCTCACTACCTGAAAAACTGTCACCTGAAAGAAGAAGTGGGTTTATACAGTTTAGTAGCATCTTCATCAGGTGGCATTTTCTCGTCTGATTACTTACCACAGCAGTGGCTGATGAGTCCAGTATCACTCTAGTGGCAAAGGAGAGGTCAGACTTGCTGACCTCAATGGCCTGACCTCCAGAGGCTTGGGCTAAGTCACTGTACAGCTGGGCATCATTTTGGCTCATTGAACGTGAAGCCACACCCTGAGAACCTCTGCGGCGCCGTCGACGAGCAAAGACATCTGTTATCATGAAAGTGACCTAAAAAATGGATAAAGAAAAAAGTACTTGTAAAGGTGATATTAGGCCCAAACTGTGTGCAAACGATTTATCATTTCATTATGGAATATATTAACCTCTTACCACACATTTGGAGCTCTGTATAAGGGCTGTGATGGTGCTTTTTAGGTAAAAATCTTTAGCTGGAGCGTCAGTGAAGACAAAGATCTCAGAGGAGGGCGGAGCAGCAGTCAGAGCAAGCTGCCCCAGAAAAAAAAGCATTTTTTATGTGATAATAAAACAATACTTTATTGATTACTAACAACATGAAACACGTTGATTTGAATGGAAAAATTAGGTTCATCTCGCATTCCAAAGTAAGGCTAGGCAATAATTCAATTTGTCCATTTATCATTCATCACACCTGCAGTCCAGACAAGGCAAACTCTGGGGTGTCTCCTCCTCCGCTTGCAGTCAGCTTGTTGATGCTGTCTTTGAAGATGTCTGCATTGGTTGTCACAGTCAGAGGTCCAAAATCTGGATATAGAAGAGATCAATGTCATCTACCTACCGTCTCTCACTTAGCTATACAATTTATTTCGACTATTGCTGAAGTACACACAAAATGTTTACAACTTCGATTGAAGATAATTATCAGTTTTACAGCACTTTTCTTAATGTTCTCAGTAACAGTATCTTTACTTTTTATAATACGTCCTACTTAAACATTATAACACATCACATGTGGACCACAGACTGTCTGTACCTGGGTCATTGAAGGGTACCAATATGTAGGCCGGGGGCTCCTCCGGGGTTCCCCTCTTGCTGTCAATAATCTCGAAGGACACTCTCTTGACCTCTGCTATGTCATCACTCATACTGCCTGTTGTGTCGATGACAAAACACAGCACAGAAGCCTGGGAGAGGCCCATCAATCTGTGTGAAAACAAGAGAGACAAACATTATTCCCTAAACATCTGTCAGGAGTCAATGATTACCATTTGAGCTTTTTTAGGGGCAGCCCAGTGAACATGTTTTTTCTGAATTACAGCTGATTAGAGCTGAGATAGAGTGCCAGCTTTACAGAAATCTGGATGACATATAATTTAATTTGCTTTGCTTTAATTTAGTGTTACAGCCCTCTCCACCGTCAGTGGCCGTGTATTTATTTTGCTGTTGTGTAGGTCTCCAAATGTCTCAGGTGTGATTGGCTCATACCGCAGGAAGTTCTTGTCACCAACGGCTTGTCGGATGTCCTCCAGTAGCTCCAGAGTGGCATCCACAGCCAAATCAGCAGCTTTCTGGTGAAGTGAGCCGTGACTGGAGTCCACAGCATCCTTATTAATGCCTCCCACTGGGTCATGTGTGCTCGTCTGGTCAAAACTTCCGCCATGGCTGCATTTACCTTCCAACAGAGACAATTTGTTCATTACGTTACGTACATACCTCTTTTTACAAGATAGTTGTGTGTGTGTATATATATATATATATATACTGTATCAATCAATCAACTTTATTCCAGACACAGAGGTCCATAGATAATACATACACATAAAAAACAACATACAAACAACATTTAAGAAGGATGCAGACGAGGCATCATTTATAAAAACTTATACAGGCATTCGGGTCCAATGTTTCCAGAAGCAAGATGTATACCTTGTGTCACTCTTGGAGACATCCACTAAAGACACAACAATAATATTCTTAGACCCTGTCAATCTGCTCATAAATCTATACATAAAATTTCTTAAAACAGCTTTAAAAGTGGGCACTTTATTGGACACAAACATTTCACTGGCACTATTCCACCTAGGGACAATTTCCCACACTGACACTGCACATCATCATCATCATCACACAGGTCATCTCTGATCACATGTCCTAGATATTGAACTTTCTTTACAACTTCTAGTGGTTCACCTGCTAATGAGAAAGAAGGATAGACACACTTCATTTCCTCCTTGGTTCTGACAATCACTACCACACTCTTCATAGAGTTAAATTTTATATCAAACATTAGTCCATATTGAGAGCATATTCTAAGAAGTTGCTGTAGGCCAGCACTGGAGGGAGTACCACCAGATCATCAGCATAAAGCATATGATTAAGTAGACTATACCCCACCAAGCAGCCAGTTCTACAGCCCTTTAGCTCCCTAAATAAATCATCCATGTACAGATTGAATAGGTGCGGAGACAGAATCCCACCCTGCCGCACACCATTGGATACATAGAACGGGGTTGTCAAACTCATCCCCCACCTGACTTGCATAGTTTGGTGAGAGTAACAGAACAGCAGTATCCTAATTAGGTCAAAGGGAACCCCACGCTCATGTAGTTTACCAAACAGTTTCCCATGATTGATACAATCAAAAGCCTTTGATGCATCTATACTAGTCAATTTACCAGTCTTATTTTTAACTACAGGCACCAGCAAAACAGACAACATGGACCCACTGTATATTACAGTGGAACGTAAAATAAAAATGTATTGTTCCTTGAAGCCACCTGCAGGTTTTTCTGGGCTGAAGAGGTTGAAGTACCCTGAAGTGAGGAGGCTCTGCTCCAGCAGGTTCGTCCCACAGTTCCCGCCGATACAGTTTCTACATGTCGGTGTACTAAGGCCTGCAGCAAATTCAAGGGAAAAAAAGAAAGAATAAAGCCTGTTATACTTATTAAAACATGGGGCAACATATTCAAAACAAAACAGTTTAACAAACATATTGCTTCACATGTTACTTTAGATAAACATACCTATGTATAGTAATGATGTATTCACTACTTTATTTAAATAGCACATTTCAGCTGCTAGGCAACGAGAAAAAAAACGATTAAAACAAAACTCAATTAAGAGCATTGAATGGAACAAAGTCATTAAAACATTAAACAAGCTAAAAATAGAATAAAGGTTGCAGTGCAGTTCAAGAAATAAAACGATAGAATGCATTTGTAAAATGCATGACATCCTTTGGTCTGGTTCAATTAAAGGCAGCAGCAGCAAACAGGAATCTTCCCTTATAATTTGAAGCAGAGTCCCAGAAGACCGGCAGCTTTCTGGGACTTTGTTCCAGATATGTGCAGCAGAAAAACTTAAGCTGCCTGCTTGATGTTTGATCCCGACTCACGGCAAGTGCTCTAATCTTTGATATGCTTTTCAGGTGATAACAGGCTGATTTTGTCTTAGTATGGATCTTCATATTGTCGGCTGAATCCATAACCACACTTAGATTTCTGGCTTGGTTTGTGAGTTTTAACATCGCTGATACAAGCTGAGCACTGACTTTCAATCGTTCGTCATTGCCCCCCCCCCCAAAAAAAAATCCTTTTTTAATTGAACAGAATTCTGGTTCATCTGGTTGTTTGTTTGACAGCTGATATAATCTGTTCAATAACCAGGCAACCTTTTCGTGGGCGGCAGTCGTTGACCATTCTCCGTTTTTCCTACCTGCCAGGTTCTGGAGCGGTTGTTCTGGTTTGATCAGAGTGCTGTAAGGAGCAATGTTCCCCAGCTCCACCCAGTTACTGTGGCTGTAGAAGTCCTTAACATACAGAATCAGAAACATCAGTCACCCCACCACTACTCCCTGATGGTTTATCACCTAGAACAGAACACAACAAAATAATTATCTTAAATCTCACTTGTAGGGTATGAAAGACCCCTCCAAGAGTAGACCTCCCTGCGACAAAGTTCTCCCTCCTCACACTGGCCTTCACAGCAGCCACGCCTCAGCAGCAGAGCAGAAAACAGAGAGCGTTAGCTGCAGAATGAACCATCACGATTGTTTCATGGAAGTCTTGAGTGAGAAAGCAATGTTTGGTGCGCACCTGTTGTTATGACATCACGTCCTCCATGGAAGCGCTCATTATCAAAATGGTGCTTCTCACTCAGCGCATAAGCAACGTCCACTATTGCGTTGCTGAGGTACATATTGGCGATGGAATTTATGAACATGAAAGTCGAGCGGAGGGAAGTGGAGGAACAGGCCGTTTGCACCTCGGCAAATGACACGCTGTCATCGATCTGGAGACATAAGCACGACCAGGTACTGAGTGCACTTTGTAAAATACATTTGTAACACACTGCACTATTATGATCAGGCCTCATTCAGTTTTGCACTGAACAGTTTTTAAGATCACCGGGCGCGTTGTGGAAAAACCTACGTGAGAGATCATGTTACAGAGGACATTGTGGGTGCCAGAGGTCAAAAAGGGAGCGGGTTGCAAAAAAAAAAGACCTTCTTAAGTTACAGCAAGAGCAAATCATTGTAACTACGCACTTGGTTTAGTTTTTAATTAAATAATTAGTTCTTGATTGGCCATCATTGTGTCCTAAGTGTTGACCCTGACTTCCTTTAGTCGGACTGCTTGCTTGATTTGGGGAAACATTTCTTTAAAGCATCGCCACAAGGCTATACGTGGAAAGATTTTCCTGTATCATCTAATGGAAATAAAAAAAAAACATAATACAGCATCTAGACGTATGAATGCACCACAGTACTTCTATTTGCTCTGTTTCAGTGTGGCTTTCGACTCACAGTCAGGCTGAAGTCCCGCCCCTCAGAGGCGGCGATATCTCTGCAGACCTCGGCCGTCTTTCTGAGGGCGGCCCTCTGTGTGATGTCACGGTGAGTGGTGGACTTTCCATCAAAGGAGAAGAGCGGATGGAAGCTGTAAATGACGCCTGGCAGGGAGACGACCACGGCCATCATCAATAAGACTCTCATGATGGCCGACGAAGTTGGAGAAGAAGAAATCTGAATTGCACTTTCTCTAAACCTTCTCAACCGAACCAACTCCTCCCTCTAGCTTTTTCTTTACTTTACGTCTTTGCTTAAAACAAATACAGACTGAGCAAAAGTAGGAGGAAATCTCTGCTGTATGCAGGGACTTTTAAACTACTTTTAAAAAGTTTAAAAAACAGTTTGCATTAGACAAATAGTATTAGTGCAACATAATATCATAAAAAAAGGGCATGTATTTATTAAACAAGTTTCAACTTAATCCCTTGCAAAATAAGATTGACAGCTGATGTTCATGTTTAGTCTAAATCTAAAAGACTTTTAGGAAAAATACCAATATTACTACTATTAACTAAAAATTAACTAATATTTGTACGACCAACTACACACAGTTAAATTTATGTATTTTTCATGCATTCTTACCCTTGAGCAGTTCAGCCTCATCAAACGTTGGCACCTCTTGAGTCTTTGTCAGCATCACCTGTTTACACTCAGATAGCATTGTGCAAACTACTACACCTGTTTGCATCTGTCTTAGTGTCTGAGGAACACCTTTATATGCATGTGCGGGTGTGCTTTTCTCATGAGTGTAAAAGATTTTATCTCACATTATCATGCTTCAGCAAACTCAGATCTGGATTGACGACATTCACCCATCTGTCAATTTGTTCCAAGCAACACACCCAGCGATGTTGACAAAACTGCTTCCTAATACAATACTCCATTGTAGATTGTTCATTATAACCAACCACTGAAGTAAGTATCTATCTATCTAATCCAAATCTCTATAACATCAGTTATTGCAGAGGGAAGCACATATCGGATTTTTTCAGTCACAGGCCCATGCAAATTGGAAGGCGAAAGCAAGACCAAGTTTATGTGCAGTTTTGAGACAATAATACTAATGTACAACTAAGCTCATCCACACAATCAGTGTTCATGCCATTACAGTATTTGAAGTATAGTAACACAGGTCTGGATGAACATTTTTGTCTTCAGGTTTTGCCCCTGTGGACTATAGAATTCATTACCAAGAAAGATCAATTGGTCATGAAATAAGATCTCTGTGCTTGACAGCAAATGACAGCCATGCTAGACGCGATACATCATCTAAGAGTCATCCATGAGCTTATCTTCTTCCGGCTGGACTATTGCAATGCAATCTATTCTGGCATTAGCCGGTGGAATATTCAGACTACAAATGATACAGAGCGCTGCTGTCAGGCTTTAACCCCCACAAGGAGGAGCGACCACATCCCAACAGTCCTTGCTGCTCTTCACTGGCCACCTCTGAGCTTTGGAATGGATTTCACGATTCTCCTGCTTGTTTTTAAGGCTCTGAACAATCTCGCTCCTGCCTACATCAGTGAGCTCTTGAGCCCCTATGAGCCTGAGTGCTGCCTGAGATCTTCAGGCAGGGCCTTATTAACACTCGCAAGCGTCTGATTGGTCGGACACTTGATCAACTTAGTTGAACCACGTACGAGGAACAGGGCCCTGGTCTAGGCCTTACTAAAAGTTGTAGAGAGCCCCATTTATGCATTGTGGCCTTATCAGTCACAGTGGTAGAGCCCTCACGGAAAAAACGTCGTTCAATTCACATTCATGCAACATGAACACTTTGCTGAAGGTGAAGGTATGTCTGCAATGCCTTATCAACAAATTATCAAAACATTGATAACATCAAGCCTGTTGACTATGACGCAAAACAGGCAAACATCTAAAACAGGCATAGCTCTACAGTAACAATAACTTCTATTTATAGTATGTATCAGCTTTTAAAACAAAGTTACAAAGTGCTTAACAATACGCACACAAGTTTTACAAAATACAATCAAGCAGTTTATAATAAATAAGATACAACCTGTCAAATATATAAAACAAGACAGCTGGTAAAAGTGAAGAGATTTGCGTCTGATTGGTCCCTGAAGGTGACCAGGCCTTTGCGGTCAGGGCTCCTAAACTGTGGAAGTCCCTTCCCTGTAAACTGAGACAGGCAAATTCAGTGTCCTCTTTTAAATCTCTTTTAAAGACTCACTTTTACCAGCTGTCTTGTTTATATATTTGACGGGTTTTATCTTATTTATTATAAACTGCTTGATTGTATTTTGTAAAACTTGTGTGCGTATTGTTAAGCACTTTGTAACTTTGTTTTAAAAGCTGATACATACTATAAATAGAAGTTATTGTTACTGTAGAGCTATGCCTGTTTTAGATGTTTTCCTGTTTTGCGTCATAGTCAACAGGCTTGATGTTATCAATGTTTTGATAATTTGTTGATAAGGCATTGCAGACATACCTTCACCTTCAGCAAAGTGTTCATGTTGCATGAATGTGAATTGAATGACGTTTTTTCCGTGAGGGCTCTACCACTGTGACTGATAAGGCCACAATGCATAAATGGGGCTCTCTACAACTTTTAGTAAGGCCTAGACCAGGGCCCTGTTCCTCGTACGTGGTTCAACTAAGTTGATCAAGTGTCCGACCAATCAGACGCTTGCGAGTGTTAATAAGGCCCTGCCTGAAGATCTCAGGCAGCACTCAGGCTCATAGGGGCTCAAGAGCTCACTGATGTAGGCAGGAGCGAGATTGTTCAGAGCCTTAAAAACAATAAACTGTATAAACCCTCTTCTTCTTTCAGGTGACAGTTTTTCAGGTAGTGAGGAATCCCGGACGGCCTGATAATTTTACGTTTACTGTTGATGGATCACTAAGGAACATGACTGCTTACATCACAGGAACATCCTCTCTCACTTTTGAGCTCACCAGCTCAACAGGTTTGGTGATTGCTTTTGTGCTTCAAATGACGTCTTGTTTTACTTCTTCCATTTCCCTTTAACTCCCACGACTGTCACTAGAAAAAATTCTAGCATGTTTTTCCTCCTCTAGGTGTTACTCAGAGTTCCAGTCAGTCCAGTGGCCCTCTGGCGTCTTTCACCACAGCAGGAAACCTGCACCGTTTAAACATCAACACTGACAATCAAACCGGATTATGGGAGATTAGAGTTAACTCGAACGACCCCTACTCTGTCAAGGTCACAGGTAAGCAGCAGAATAGAAATAACTGGTTTCTGTGAGAGAACCTTTGTTTACAGCAGTGACATCACAAATAATAACCCTACTATTATTTGTGATGTCTATATGTACATCAGGTCAAAGCTCAGTGAACTTCATTTTCAATCTCGTGGAAGCTGATGAGGGAGGCCGCGGGGACTTCAGCCTGAAGGAGGGACGTCCGCTTTCAGGTCAGAACACACAACAATTATTCTCATCTTTAGTCTTAAAGTTGGTACGGTCTGTCTGTGTGTGTGTGTGTGTGTGTGTGTGTCACCTAGTTGGGTGCAAACACTGTTTAAGTCGATGATGGAGCAGTCACACTCATGCCTCTCTTGCCTTCACCCTTTAGGTGGGAATGCCAGTCTCTTGGTCTCTGTGACAGAAAGTGACACGGTAAAGGTCACAGAGGTCACTCTGTTGGACAGCTCAGGGACAACAGAAGTCAACGGATCACTGCAGGCATGTTGCACATTCACTTGATGAACTTAAAAGAGCGACACAGAGTAGCTAGTCTCTACTTGCTTTAAAGTAATTGTAGTTATTGTTAGAACTCTTTCTGGTCGCTGATCCTCACCTCATCTTGAAAACTAGACACACTGACAGTTGCCACAGTGTAACTTACAGTGCAAGGCTGCAATAGGGTGACTTCCATTACAGTCCAGATATTCAACTTAGCAGAAGTTAGTAGTCAACAACAGATGAAGTCATCTGAAGTCAGATGAATATCAAAAGAAAACAAATGATTAAGTCCTCTTTTGGGGGAAGAGTAACATTTGTTGTAATTTTTGGTGAGATGCTGCACTTGAAATAAAAAGTGTCTTCCTTATTGTGGTGTAAAGGTAAAAGTCACCTTAGTTCATAGTCCTCATCCTCATGGAACCTAAAATGTCCTCACAAAATGTGTTGCTCATCCATCCAATAGTTAGGAAATAGAAATATCTTAATCTAGACCAAGCTGATTGACAGACCGATCAACATCACTCTTATGTAACATCACCGTTTCTTTGCTCTGTTTTATTTACAACATAAAATTGTTTTTATCTGTAACTTCTTCTCCCTCCTTCCTCTTTGGCAACTGGCAATCAGGTCTGATAATGGAATATGTTTTGATTCCGTTCGCTGATTGGAATATTCAGATGAATTTGACCAAACGCAGGTTTTTGCAGTTCTTTAATGAGTCAAGCTTCTTTGGGCCTGCCATCATTTCTCCATCCTCATTATATCAAGGTCCAACATAGAAGTAGGAAATCATTCTGAACTTGTCACACGTATCCACAAGCACCCTGTCCTTTTTGCTTCTTCCCACTCAAGGCTACCATGACACAGGCACTACTGATATGTTATTCCATACATCAGAACAAGATATGCGTAACTGTTTCTCCCCGTCCCTCCCTCTGCTTTTCACCATCACTTCAGGCTCAAGCCAACAACACCAACATTGAACCAGGCTCCACCATCTCAGTCCCTTTCACAGTTGCCACAACCGCCAACGGAGTTGTTAATGACTCTGCAACCGGGACTTTCACAGTCCAAGTGAACAATGACCGCGGTTATTCTTTAACTGCACCCGACACCGTTACCATAGCAGCGGGCAAAGCCAACGGCACCGTCACCTTAACAGCACCAGCCAGTGCCGTGTCAGGAACAGACGTGACTCTTACCATTCAGGCAGAAAACACAGCTGCCAACGACATCAACTTCACCGTCCTCAGGTTGTCTATTGTTGCCAAGGTAAGAGGAGGCGAGCAGTCCGTGTAACATAAACATATCACAGGTATCACCTACATTGAGTAATGGTCAAATACAAAATACATTCATGTGTTTCATTTGTGTTTCATCTCTATTCTTAAATTGTCGGGTGTTGTTGGTTGTTTTATTTAAACTAATGGATCAAAGGGTTGTTGAAATTACTGATACGATTTAAAGTTGATCAAAGAAAATATCCTGTTCTGGTTCTTTTCCAGGTTCATTTTGGTAAACAAAGACATCACACTCCTGACTTTTTTGTTTATCTCCCGGTTTCTCCAGGTGACGGATATTACCCGCCCAGTGTGCCAGGTAGTCAGTTCATCCACCAATTGTCCCTCCTCCCCAGCGCTCTGTACTTCCTCCCAATGGGAATTCGTTGCCAATCTCACCGATGGCATCAACGGAACTGGCATCGAGAGCCTGACCATCCGCCAAGGGAACGGTACCCTAAACACCAGCACTGCGACTGGAGCAGAGGGGGAAAACATTACAGTGGCTACCTACAGCGCCTCCTGCTGCTCACAGAATGTAGTGCTGGCTGCTGTGGACAGGGTAGGTAATGTGGGGACATGTGTGGGACAGGCTAGAGAATCTACCACGAATGTGTCCACTGCTGCCCCCGTACTTAACACAACATCCATGACTACAGCTGCACTTAACACAACATCTGCAGGAAGCCCCACAGAGAGCATATCCCGCTATATCTATTTGAGTGTTGCTTTTTCTATCCTTTGGAACTGAATAGCATACATGGAAATTACACTGTAAATGTGCAATTTTAGCACAGGAATTCATTATTTTAAGCTTTTCAGATATTTTCATTTTCCACAGCTCGAGTAAAATATAATTTCCTTTCATGTCAATAATATGATGCGCATATCTCTTTTTAATGATTTTATTTTTCTATAACTTAAATACGTTGAATCATTTACAGTTCCTCAAAGGAAGTATCAATGTTCCTTATGGTGTGTGGATGTCTGCGTGATGCCAATGTAAAAGTTCCTGAATCTGCTCGAATAACAACGGCTGCTAGATTCTGGACTAAACTCAATTGGCTAAACGGACATGTTTTTGGGGTTGCACTAGTTACATCATTTCTTATTCAATCTTGGTGTCAGATTGGAGAAATACTGTTGATTGATGTTTTGAGAGATATTTGTAATCAATAAACTTCCCTACAACGGCCTTAGCCTGACTCATACTTTCAAAAGAGTTTCTTCGGACTTGCTGAGTCTCATTTCTTCGGCTGCTTCCTCCTGAGGATGCATTCGTTGACCGATTGGTCAGTTCACTTTTAAATGTAAGTACTGGAATTTACCCAAATACCTACCATTAAAAATGTTATATTATAATATATAACATCACTGCTTCCTCTGGGTCCAAAGACATGCTCTGGGGATCAGGTTAATCGGTGACTAAATTGTGTGTGGTTGTTTGTCTCTTTGTCAGCCCTGCGATTGGCTGGCCACCAATCCAAGGTGGACCGCGTCTTTTGCCCGATGTTGGCTGGGATCGACTGCAGCCCCCCTGCGACCTTGTGTGAAGGATGAGCGGCTTTGAACATGGATGGTAAACAGATCAAATAACAGTGATGCAATAGCTAGTAAAGTTTATTTTTCTGTTTCTGAGAAAGTAAACAATTACAATAAAGAACAAAATCAAACTCAAATGGAAGTAAAAATAAAACAAACACATTAATAGATACAGTGGAAGAACTAAGAGTGACTTCCCAAACAGAAATGGCGCATTTAGGACCAGTTTAGGATTAAAGTAGAAAGCTGCAAAAGAAAAACGCCACCTGATCTACAACACCGAGTGAAATACACTGTTACTGGTTTCAGTCCCAGCAGTTCAGTACAGCGGACTCATTCACACCTGTTGGTTGGACAAGCCCCAGTTATCAGGCAAAAACTGCAACAGAGGCAGGGAGGAGGGAGCAAAAAGCTTGGTCCTATAATCTAAAGAAAGATTTTCCTTAAAACAATACAGCAACCACAGATTTAAAGTACAGCAGGTTTACTTAAAAAACTCTTAATTAGCATGGCAAGTAATGAGAAAGCAGCTACCCCACCAAAAGAAAAGCTTCATTCAGTTTTACGTGTACAAATCATTTCGCCACCAAAAAGCAACTGGACAATTAAAAGTGCACTACTGAGGATTCCTGATACTCTGAAGAATGAACTAGGTGATATTCAGTATTAATAGATGACTTCATAGATTTAAACAAACTTTTATGTCTAATAACTTATGTCTGCGAATAGACGTCATCCCTACGGACACTTAAGACCATCCTTCTCTATTTGAACTCTTTGAGCACATTTTCACACCAGCAATGGTGAAAGTTTCAGGGTAAGAAACCATATCAGTCATTAATAGTATTTACAATACCCAATGTTACTCTTTTAAACAGAGCTTATTGTTACACAAGATATTATGTGCATTGTTAATAGTCATAGATCATACATGCCCCTGGATATCTGTCCTGAACAAGAGAGACGGTCAATGCCAGAGATGTATGATCATTACATAATTCAATATAGGAGGGCGGATAACTGGCATGTATGGTTTTTATCCTCAAAAAGCAAGACCGAAGCTACAGCTTAATAGCTTTTTTTTTCTTTTCTTTTTTAACAAAACAAATTGAGAATCTGTACATATTAACATTTTTCATGGCAAGACCATTAAGGACTTTCTTCTGGAGTAGATCTCTTCAAAGTCAATATACTGTATAAGAGGATGGTCCAACAAACCCAACAATACTCTTGTCCAACACATTTCTTCACTGTCAAATAAGGTACTAATGCATTGCCACTGAATGATAAGATGTAACTTGGTATGCACAGGAAAACAAGTTGTAATGTAAGAGACTGCAAAAACAGCAAACATTAACCCTGATAGTTTGATTTGAATATCCTCTGGTTAAGCTAATGAATGAAGCTAATGCTATTTTTTAATAATTGGTTGAATGAAACATTTGAGATTGAAAACATGCAAAGCAAAGCAATGAAATGTTTTTTCTGTATATAAGAGTATTTTGGTTTAATCACTTGTAGGAGATGATCAAATATTTGCATGCTGAGGCACAGAGTTAGAGATTTTAGGCCTATATTCTCTGGGCATGCCAACGTTTCACTCAAAAACTGCCTTTTATATTTGTACAAAATCAGTATACAGCTGTCAAAGTTGATTTTCACTCGCCTCCACACAGTTGCATCACCAAATATACTGTATCAATCCATTCGCTTACAGTATATACACATACTGTATATACACTTCACATAATGTGTATACATGTTGTGAACATCCCATGCAGCATATAAAACCCATTAAGTGATGGCATTGTGGGGGGGAAAGGGGGCTCTAAGTAGAAGTTGCTGTTGACACGCCCACAAAAGACAGAGCTCAGTATAACCAACCAGCACTGGCAAAGTCAAAAGGTAACAGCAGTTCAGCAAATGCTCTACAGCCGACAAAGCACATTCTCAAGTCAGCTTGATTCATGTGCTCCTCTCCTGACATCATGCTTTGGGTTGTCATTATCTCCATGTGCATGAAAATCAGAAAATGGCCCAATACCCACAGGCCTTGTTCCTACCTGTGACAATAATTGGATTTTCTAATTTTGATCAAATTGTCCAGCTTTAAAAAGGTTTCAGGCAACACTTTCCTTCGGAGTTGTTGTTGTACTGACCTCTCAGTCCACTTGGGTAAGACCTACTGTATGCAATAATACACTTCCAACTAATTCTACTTTAGAATCAATAAACCGTCATCGTCATTGCCATGCTAGATGCAGATACAACAGCTTAAAGTACAACACAACTGCCATTATGCAAATGATCCAAGGTTTCTGATTTGTAAACATTCCAAGGGTTAAGTAGACTGCTACAGTACATACAATAGTTGCTGTTTTGTAACATCTGTAGAGGTATAAAATGTGGCTGTTTGGCAATAAGCAGAGAGAGAAAGTTCTAGTAATATCCCTGCCTTTAGAGTGGGGGCCAGCCAGAGTCTGGGAGACCTGAGGTGTAAACTCTGATTGTACTGATCTTGCATCTGTTGTATAATTGGAGTTTGGGATTGAAAAGATGAGTGCAATCTGATCCACAGGCCTATTCAGGAAACTGCTTACTAAGGGAATCTGGTGTGTTTTACGCTCACATATTAGTTCTACTGTGCTGCTTCTGTTTGTGTCATTGATTTGTAATTTAATAAATGTCAGGCATTCATTCGCAAACATTGTCGAAACGTATGAACACCACGGGCTCCATGGCGCTAAGGCAACTACTTATTTCAACAACCTGAAAGCAATCGGCTTGTCTGATTCTAGAAAACGTAAAAAGGAAACGCTAAAAATAATTCATTCACGGGGCTTAACAAGTAATGACTAAAGATGCACTTTGTTTCGATTTGATGTCACGTAATAGTTGTTAAAATAGATGTGTGGCTCGCTAGACGAGGAGCCGGGCCCACAGCTGCCTGCAAGGCATCAGTGACCCCGATATGGACGTCAACTGTGAGTGTGTTCAGGTGTACGGCAAATCATTAGATATGGCTGGATAACTTTAATGTCTGGCCACTTGTGTTTGTGAGGTTATGCTAGTCTTGTTGGGCTACGAAGACAATGGGGCTTGGGAAATAAGTAAAGCATTGGGTAAAGGAGGTCATCCCAAGGTCCCTCTACTGCTTCTCAGCAATGTCCTCGTTGGAGGCGGGCGGGGTAGATGATTGGAGGTGGTTTGAAATAGGCACCGGGCTCGTGGCAGAGCCTTGCGGATCGCCACTTGTGGCAGGGTCAGGCAGGGTGAGGGCTTCCGGAGCAGACTTTTTGCGGGGTCGGTCCTTTGAGACCGAGAGGGACTCCGGCGCATCAGTGCACATCGGGGTGGTGGGGGCGCTGGCAGGACCGGTGAGGGAACAGGAGGACAGGGGCGTCTCGCTGATGGAGATTGACGGAGGAAAAATCCCTATCTTCTGGTTGGTGGCCTCCTGGATGGTGCGCTCAAACTCTCTCACCTCATCCATTGTCATGTCTGGATTGGAAAAAGATCCGTTGAGACCAAATGAGAGGAAGAATTGAGAAAGTAAACAATTGCAAAACACCAAAAGGCTGACACTGTAGCTATTCATCAAAAAATCCCCATATTCAAAAACAAATATAATTTTGTCTTCATGTGTTGAATTTTGTTAGCTCACGTTTTCAAACATTTAGAAACTCGTATTATTGTATTCTTTGCCTGTTGAACATGTATGCACCGTTCGAGGGACGGAGTGAGTGGAGGTCCCGGGACATTTGTACGACGAGTCAAGAATGAGACAGAGCTTGGGCAATGGAAAAATGTAAACGGCACATACGCTTGCTTTGTCATCCAGTGAAGATGGGTTTGGGGTGGAAGGCTGTGGCTGCTCATTGCATACTTTAATGTTGGTTTTCTCATACATTTGTGTCTCGTAATCCCGCACGTCATCCAATGTCATATCTGAAAGAAGGGGGGAGGGGTGGATTGGGATATATATATATAGATCTTCTATAATGGGGCTCCAGGTGACAAACCGGTAGGGAAGGAGAGGAAAAGTTGGCAGAGGCCGATTCTAAGGGTCAGTGAAGCGGGTTTAATGGCTGATTCCAGCTGTTAAAAGTGAAAGCTTCAGGAGGAACAGGGGTAGCTTCCCATGACCCAGAGAGTTTTAAGGAGACGGAACAACTCGGAGACACGCCAGGAAGGAGGAAAAAAGGAAGGTCTGATTGAATAAAAGCAAAAAGAAGCCACACCCAAAGAGCACCTATTCTCAGAGCGAAATCATTCAATAAGTGAAAGTATTTAGGAAGTATTTCAAGCGTCCAGGCTGGTTTGGAGCTGTGGTATGAATGTTAGTGGTTAAAGAGATGAGCATAAAGGACAATGGGCTTGTTATCGTCTCCGCTTGTTTGCAGCCTCTTTCAAAGTAAAAAACAGATTTCATGTTTCAGAGAGCGCGATGTACGGATGTAAATCCTGAAACTGTAGTATGTTTAAAACCATAAACAAGCATAAATATTGTTTTTTTGCAACTTTATATTTTCTTAGATGAAATATTGTGCCAAATAGTTTCAATAATTAAAACAGTTTTACATTTAAACTAGTCTTTTTTCCGATTCTGATTAGTACCTGCTGTGAAATTCGTGTCAAAATGTGTCATGCCTACTGGTTAATAAACAGGTATAACACAACTGTGCTTTAGTTATTATGACGAATGTGAGAAAATAGTTGAGAAAGAAAAAGGTGGAAATGTGCCAGTGGCTGTAAATGAACTGCAGAGCTGATAGACCTACCGATCCACTCATCCACCCAAGCAAAGGCCTGTCTGTGTCCCAGCAGCAACACATCGCGAACCACCTGTAAAACAACGTTGAGAATATTTGATATCACACACACACACTCATCACTTTTCTACATTAAACATTTTAAAAGTTTGCTTTTCAGTAGGATGATTTGGGAAATTACAATTTAGCCTACTAGAAAATGTATACCTGCGGATAAATGCATTTCAATAACAGTGACTAAATACTTTGGGGGCCGGGACGAAGAAGTAGATTTAAAGAATTATTTATGTAACTTCAAACCAGCCTCGATGTTTTGACTAAAAATGACCCCACTCATCCCTCATGGACAAGCCCTCACCTTGTGTACAAACTGCTCCACACGGGTCTGCAAACCCCACACCTCAAACTTGACAGTGACCAGTTTGTATGAGCACATGATGGGGTCCTGGGTGTCTCTCCAGCCCTCCTGAAGAATCCCCCGGGAAGTCTTATCAGACTTGAAATAGCGCAGGTCCTGCAATGTGGTAAAAATGAACACGCGCATGTTTGCCATTACAATAGTCAACCAAAAGCTTACGGTGTCTTTTTTTTTCTGCACACATTGGGGTTCAAAGCAGAGCCTTGAAATAACTTGCATGACTTAATGCCAGTATGAAATACCATTCACATCAACCACTCCGAATCTTTTTAGAGGCTCAGTGGAGCTTATGCAATCCGTTAACAGCTCTGGAGACAAGCACCAGCTCTCACACTTCACAGGCTGAAGAATGAAAGGCTTTCAAACTCCGGATGAAAGATGGATGGGAGATGGTGTGGCCACATGCAGCGATCGTCGTTAGACAACTCCATAGAGTAGTTGAAACTAGTGACACCTCCCTGGTAGCCTTAACCCCCAACATTCGTTAATGTCTACACACTTGCACCCTCACAAGCTCACCTCAGACTCTTTGTAGTAGCGCTCGGGGATCTCATCGTAGGCGATGTCGACGAAGCACACCTCCCTCTCCTGCTCCTTCAGCTCGTTGTCAAAGATCTGAAAGCAGAACAGAATCAGACAAGAATCCTCACAACAAAACCAGAATTCACCCTCGAAATGGGTATTTTTCGATGTTACATCATCACACTTGTGGCTGGCTCAGCTAAACACTAATGACACACGTTGCACTTGCCTATATAACCATTAGGTGGAGCTCAGTGCCCATGTCTTATAGTTGTGACTGTGCCGATAACAATTGCTGCATCATATGTAGACATTAATAAGGAATGAATACATTTTAGCTTGTATAAATTCATCAATCCATTCATGACTATAAATACATTTCTTATTTACTACACCCACACAATTACATGTAATATCTCATGAGTATATAAATAATTCAACTGAGGTAAAAAGACAAAAGAGCAAACGGCTTCAGATTTCTATTGCATTGCCACAGTATCTATAAATGTTGAGATCATCACTATAAATTCACAATATCCCAATAATCAGTTTTACAACGTAATTATAGTTTGTAGTTGAGACTTGCTCATCAACTAAATGGGAACTTTTTCTGTGCACTCCTTCCCCTCCCTTGTCTCCTACTTCCTTCCTTCCCAGGGTGCATCCTGCCATTTAGAGTGCAGATAAACACAATAAGGGTCATATGTCAGCATGGATGCGTGCAGCCAAGCAACCGGACTGGAGGCTGGATGAGCAACGAGAGGAAGAGGTGGACGGCAGGACAAATGGAAAGAATGAAAAGGAGATAGTGGCTTTGTTGGGGGGGGGGGGGGACCGGAGTAAATTGGTGGGGAGAAAGGGGGAGTAAGCAACAGTGCAAATGAATGCAGAGACGACCAAGGACACAGAAAGAGGTGGGAGTAAAGGCGCCAGGATGACCGAGGCATCTGACATGGGTGTGTGAAATCAGAGATGAAAAAGGAAAAAAAAAAGAGCACTTTGCAAGAAATAAACACATGTGTCCAAACAACTTGGAAGCTTCTCTGGTTTACTGGAACACGTTCTTACAAAGTGAAATCTAAGTAAATGATCAGAGCTTTTAACAAAAGATCATGATTCACTGCAACTGGGGACTTAAATACACAGAACACTTGATAAGAGTCAGTTGCAGTAACATGCAAGTTTGTTTCGCTCAGTAAATCAGGCCATTCAGCGTCATTTCTTAAAAATGCCAGAATGACGTGGCCCCAAACTGACATTCACCCTCTCACTTTCTGGCTCATCTGGGAAAACAGGTAGACGATACAGTTCCAGTACACTACATGACATTTGTTTTAAAATACTCTGATGGTTTACAGCAATGGCTGCTTCAATTAAAAAATCAAATTGAAGGGGCCGCAATACAATAGGCTCAGAGGGATAATCCGAATTTAACAGACCAATCTCATCCAGGGCATGCCAGAGAGATTATCATTAACTGAATGAAATGGGGTAGAGAATAATTTCACCACCCTCCGTGATTGGATGTTGGGACAGAAGGGATTCAGCACATTACCCGTTACATGCTGAGGATGCTGTCATTTATTTCAATCAAATCAAACCACTGCAGTGCCAGTTGAACTTGAGCGAGCTGATTTCTAGTCCTCCAGTACATACAATCAACCTCCCAATCCACACTGCGCCCCCCCGGGGGCCTCAGCCAAACACCAAGCAAGTGTTGAGTGTGAAGTCGATTGTCCTTTGGATGTACAGTGGTTGAGAAAATCAGACAGACTCGGTCCATTTCAGTTAGACGTGTTATTTCAGGGTTTTTTTGTAGTAATTCCAACAATTGTCATACAGGATCTCACTGCTTTGAAGAGACTTGCTCCATTGTAGGCGTTTGGCTTGAACATGAGCCCCTTGTGTAACCGTGGCCGCGGCTTCTGATTTGAGTGGCTCTGGGCGTGCATGAGGTCATGTGCGACCAACATAAAAAGAACAAGAACCAAAAAAGTGTTCTCTCATTCTGGCTGCTGTGTGGTTCAGTCCTAGGAGAGATTACAAGAGACTATGGGCCTCAGGACACATGCTGAAGCTTAATGTACGAGTGTGTGTGTGTGTGTGTGTGTGTGTGTCTGCAGAACATGTACAGCGACTGTAGCCTCCGCTCAACCGGTGCATGATGTCCACTCACACGCCCACTCATTTCCTGTCCACATCAACATTCCCCCTCCTCACTCGCCCTACTCCTTCCTTTTCACTCAATCTTTGAATCCTTCCACTCGGTAAGTCCTTGCTTCTCCAGATGTTCATTAAGGCATACATACAGTGTCAAGACGCCCTGAGTGCACAGTTGTACATTATGCAATCAGAGTAACCACATGCAGAGACATTGCACTTGCTCGGAGAGAATGCTATGCAAACCACAGCGGCAGACATTATTTCACAGTACCCTTATTTGCTAATACACCCACAACATACAACAACATACTCATGAATTGGTTGTACACTCTCATGCTTCATGTCGGCTTGCCCTGAAGTTGATGCAAGAAGTAGTTCAGCGGTGTCATTGAATCATTCATTCGAGTGTGTGAGGACGGTAGACACTGCCCTTTTATCTCAGCTCTATTACACACATTTCTCAAACTTTCAGGCATCTTAAGTGCAACGGCCGTAAGCCCGTTCCTGTTGGATTTCATTTGGAAAAAAAGTCTTTGAGTTCTCGTCGCCTTGTCAAACCAAAAAAAGCATCAATCTAAAACATCACTACGTGTGATGTTAGGTGACGGTCTGTCCATTTCCATCTCCGTCTGTCCTTCATGAGCACATGTGGTAAGAACTTGGGAGCAATTCCTCCATCACACACAGACACAATTTTGCAGGTTTTCCCACTTACAAAGCCTGTAGATACGTCAGAAAAGCCAAACTTAATATTTGGTACAGAAACCTTTGTTTGCAATTACGGACATCATACGTTTCCTGTAGTTCTTGACCAGGTTTGAACACACTGCAGCAGGGATTTTGTAGACCTTCTCCAGATCCTTCAGGTTTCAGTGCTGTCGCTGGGCAACACTGACCTTCAGCTCCCTGATTTTCTATTGGGTTCAGGTCTGGGGACGGGTAAGGCCTGAAGGGGGGCCTTGCGGCGCTGACGGCGTAGTGTGTTACCAATAGTTTTCTTTGAGACTGTGGTCCCAGCGCTCTTCAGGTAAATGACCAGGGCTCTCCCTTCTGGGCTGATTCCTCACCTTCTTCATGGTCATTGATGCCACACGAGGTGAGATCTTGCATGGAGCCCCAGACTGAGGGGGATGGACAGTCTCTCTCACCAAGCTGCTTGCCTGTAGTCCATCCCAGCCTTGTGCATGTTATCCCTGATGTCCTTACACAGCCAGCTGGTCTTGGCCATTGTGTCTTTTATACGGGTAAGGCGTTCAATTAGGTGCAGTTAATACAGGAAATGAGTGGAGAACAGGGGGGCTTCATAAAGACAAACTAACAGCTCTGCGAGAGCCGGACTTCTTACTGGTTGGTAGGTGATCAAATATTTATGTCATGCAATAAACTGCAAACATAAAGAATACCTACAATAGAAATGACAGACTCCTACGTGCTTTGTAAGTGGGAAAACCTGAAAAAACAGCAGTGTATCAAATACTTTCTACTTTCCCCACAGTATATATTTATATCAAGCCGTTCTTCTTCGTCAATGTCCAGGCTTTCATTTGATGACTAATGCGCCTATAAACTAGAGTGGAGTAAAATATAGATATAGAGAGAAAGAGCGTGAGGAGGCTAACAGCCCAAATTGAATTTGCCGTCCAACAAGTGGAGCAGTTCTTGGCAGACTCAAGGAGCGTTATATAGTTGGAATTACGGTACAACAGGATTGCAAATGAGGCTCTGTGAGTTGCCAAATTTGCCCGAATGGTTTCAGTCATGCAGCCTTCGCAGAGGTTTTTGAACATACGTCTGCTATTAGGTCGTCCGGGTTTTAAATAGGCCTATATGTTTAACAGTGGGACATCATTGTAGATAAAGAGCACGGCATGAGTCTGCTTAACAATACTGCATATGAGCATTATTGAGAAACCAAAACATACAGAACGCTTACTGATCTCAACACACACACACACACACACACACACACACGCACGCACACACACGCACACACACGCTAGACTCACATTGTCGTTGCTTCCTTTGTTGTCCTCGTATTTTGTCTCTATGTGGATGGAGAACTTGGGCAAGAATGAGCACTGTGGATAAAAGAACAATAAAGCAAATAAAATCATAGGCACCATTGTCGTTTTGTTCATACCTCTTAAAGCATTACGGGTAGATATAGAGTGATGAACATGAACATTCTAGTGTTGTCTGCACACACCTGCTAAAATGGCCCACTTGGAAATATGCTCTGCTGTAACTTCCTTTAAAAGCAAACCATTAAACCACTTCTATAGTAGTTACACTGACTGCTAAAGCAGCTGTTGGAACGGTCTGTCTCTTCCAATGTTCCTCCTCACTGTATTGTGCAAAACAAAAGAAATCATTCCGCTATAGCATTCTCTGTCAATTTATATTTCCCTGTCAAAATCAACAAAAGCCAAGACAAGCAAATACTTTTGTAAATCTGTTGCCTCGCAGCTAATCTCTGCCTTGGTGTATCTAGACTGACTCATGCCTGGACATAAAACGCCCCCACACATTAAGGGAGACAATGTCAAGCATTCCGTCTCTTTCTCTTGTGTCTCTGCACCCTAAGGTGCCGTGACTCACGCTGGTGACATGTGTCACTCAATAGCCTTAAAGCTGAGACTTATCGTGTGCCTGTGTGTCAGTTTTCTTCTGCCAGCGCTTCGTGTGAGGGATTCATTACAGGTCACATTGATAGTTCTGCTCATTAGCTCCGTCCATGTGTTGGACGAGATGCAGCCTCAACTCACACACCTAATCCCCATGTTAAACTAATTCTGCAAGACATCAGCAGACCTGATTCAGACCAAGCTGAAGTACGCATGTGGTCCTTAGAGCCACACTAATTGATATTTTTGAACAGCAACGTCATACAGCGAGAAATCCACAATCGGAGAGTGAGTACCCAACTAATCGGTCTCAGCTCTATAGACTATTCTATTGTCTTTTTTTATTTTGGGTTATAATTTACGGACTGCAACTCCTTAGTTTTAATTAAATCACTGCTCTTATTGCGGGGCGGCACGGTGGCGTGGTGGTTAGCACTGTCGCCTCACAGCAAGAAGGTCCTGGGTTCGATTCCGCCCAGTGGCTTTTCTGTGTGGAGTCTGCGTGGGTTCTCTCCGGGTTTTCCGGCTTCCCCCCACAGTCCAAAGACATGTTTGACATGCTCTGGGGATCTGGGGACTTTAAATTGCCCGTAGGTGTGTGGATGTGAGTGTGAACGGTTGTGTGTCTCTGTGTAGCCCTGCGATTGGCTGGCGACCAATCCAGAATGAACCCCGTCTCTCGCCCGAAGTTGGCTGGGATGGACTCCAGCCCCCCCGCGGCCCTGTGTGCAGGATAAGCGGTTTGACGATGGATGGATGGATGGACTGCTCTTATTCCCCTTATTTTGATCAGTAGTAGAGCAGAAAAGCTCTAAAAGAACTCGATTACTCTCAGTAGTTGTTGGGACACTAAATCAGAGCTGAAAAGGAATCAAAAACTGTTGCTCTTCCTCATGTGGAACTGAACATGTGTAAATGGTCAATTACTTTTAAGGCTGTCCTTAATGTTGCATGAAAAATCATTTTCCATGCCACCATATCCAGCTAAATACAGCACTAGATTTACTTCCTGATTTTATTTCACTTATTAAGAGTAAAAGTCGTATTAGTCGGAGTACAAAAAGCTTCCATTTGAAAAAAACAATACTGATGACATTTCTTTACACACCGTGTGGCCTGTGGTGCGACATAACACGCTCCTAAAAGACACGCAGGGTTACACACGGGATACTTACTGTATATTCTATGGACCGGAGCGGAGTGACGGGGAGGAGACAGAAGAGGAAGAACAGTTAGTGACCTCTTTACATTGTCAGCAGCATAATGAGAAGGCAATGATGTGAGAAGAGAACAAAAAACAACCTATGGAAGACTTGTAGTGGCAGTCAAGGATCTGATACTTTGCATCTTTCCCACTTTAGTAACTTTCCCTTCAACTTTTTCTAATTTGCGAAGTTCCCCTTCATCTGTACTCCTCAGTTAGTAGATCAGGATCATTAACGCATCACAGGACTGTGCGCTGGGCACTGCGGCTATGATTGTTGCACTCCTCACTACCGGTCGCTTGGCGTGTCGGGCGATTTACGAAGCCAAGCTCATGCTGCACTCAGCGTGGTTATAAAGCATTTGCTAAACGCTGAACACACGTCAGCTCCAACGTGTTCATATGCCGATTATGTGTGCGCGTTTCCCTGGCGCGCTGAACGAGCTTCAGAGAGAGCTGCAGTGGTGCAGCTGATCAGTCTTTAGAGGATCAGCATGAAGGCCCCTTGGGAATCTAGCGCGTTAGGTTCGGAGCCACGGCCTTAAGCCAATACGATCAGCTTTTAGAGTTTCAGGTTATACTTAATTGATCCACGCGTCATGTCTTCAGGAGGTCACTGAGGTCTAATTTACATCTTGCTTGGAATGCTTTACAACCACAATCAATGGATCTCACAGAGACCAGATGCGGCTGAAAAGTGAGTGTTAGGGAATACTGCTTATTGTGCGATTATCGTTACGCAATATACGGTTTCATTGTCCTGTTTTAATTGCGTTAAAACAGGAAACAGTGGACTCAACTGTATTTTCTCCACCAAACTGAAAAGCAACTCAATATATGGGAGGAAAGTCCAAGACACATTTGTACACACTCATACGTTATCTTATGCACACACACATTCACCTGTGTAAGCCGTTTTAAACCTCGAGTCGACATACTCAGTTTGGTGTACGATGCCTTTTGCTATCACTGCTGTACTACTGACCTTTTTAACAAACAAGTGTCGATTCATCATGCTTACATAGTTCACCACCGCAATAAAAGGAGACTGCATGGGGAAGTCTAGTCGGAGTCGGCTGTGATCGAGTGAAGAGTCTAATACTCGAAGATTCTTGACCGGGCTCCTCTTGCAGCAAGTAAAACTCACAAGTCGACTGAGTGTCTTTGTTTCTCGTGCTGTGATTGTTCTCTGGTGTAATCAGCAGGGTTTTGTGGTTTCTAACTACGACCTAAAAGTGAGGATCAGAGTTTCCAGGATTATAAAACACAGGTCTAAAGTTACTCATGGACTTTGGTAGAAAAGCTCTTTCCTTTCGTGCTGAAATATGCAGTGGAGCTTAGCAGCTTTGGACCGCGTGCTAGAAATGACTCTAATGCGCCTTAATAACTCATGCTCTTTTCCCCACGCTAGTCCAACTCCCTTAAAGCCTCCTGCTCCGCGTGCTCACCTGTTTTGGTGTAAGGGTAGTAGTTCCACGCTTTCTCTGTCACGTAGAAGATTTTGGGAACCACCGCCTGAGCCCAGGTGGGTAATTTACTGCAGAGAAACACGAGAGCGACAGACTGATGAGGAGCTGCACGTAGCAGCGAATCACAGGGGTGAGGGGGTATGGGGGCTGAAATTGCTTCCACCGTTGCTGCAGTCATGAAAAACGTGTTCCACTGGTGAAAGGAAAATCTGTTCACCGCATAAAAACATAGAAACTGAGGGATGGTGTGAAAAGAACGCTTCCAAAAGGCTTTAATTCAGAGGAATGTGCTACTGGAGACCAAACGCATATTGCTCAACCTAATTGCTTTTAGGGCCTTTTGAACCTACTTGGAACTAAACTCAACCAGCCATATGGTATTCCCTTTAATTAGACTTTTGGCACCCATCCACTGTGCATCATGCTTGACATTCTCTAATCTTGAACCCTGAGGCTGCATTGAGAACTTATGAGATGTGTGATGCGGCGTACATGCATTAATGTAGCCTGACCTTCATCTGCGCTCCCTTTGATTGACCGGTTGAACAATTTCTTAAGGAGGCACCTGGTGGCATCATGACGGCTGGGAGTAAAAAACAGCCATCGATGAAGATATTGTGAAAATGTCGGCAGCTCCCGATGAAAGAGGCCGACACTCCTCCTACACCATCTGTTGATTTCTCACATTTCATCCCTGTTCTTTTAAAAGATCTTTGCCAATAGCAAATTGGAAGGGGGGGCCGACGCTGTGAGTGGGAGGCTGCGCTTTCATGCCAAAAGCTTTTTCTTTGTTTTTTCAAATCACCCTAGTTTAGTTGAACACATCCGACGGACAGACGACGCTTCAACCTTAATATCAAGGGTGAGAAGAGGCCAAATAGTGAAGCACAGCGAAAGGCAGATTAAAGCATGACTGAGTCCAGGTTGACTTCCCTGGTGGGGAATCAGTCGTTGCAGAGTCAGATGGGGGGGGGGGGGGCAGTTGAGTAAGGTGGTAAGTAAAATCACATTAATATAATATCATAAGGCATTTATTTCTCTGTTCTTATCTGCACGTTATTCATAATGAGTGGGAAGCACAGGCTGCATGGGACCGTCCCGTTATCCGTTCATCAGTATCAACATACTTTGTTTGCTTCCGTCAGTTTGTGTTAAATGATCTGCCAGCAGATTGCAAAACAACGACTGATTCAAGTAGCAATGAGGCGTTCCACTCACCTGTTGAGGTAGACCCTTTTCTCTGTGAACTGTCCTTGGCCGTGCGCCGGGTCGTCAAATGGTTCGTTCTGGACAACCTCCACTCCTTCCCCTCGATCACTCTGCTCGTGGCTGTGTTTACTGATCATGTACAGCTGCCCAATCCGATACTGCAACATAAAGGGTAAGTTCACATGCTTTGTTCAGGAGCGCAGAGAGCGATAATGATGCAAACATTGAAAAATGACAAAATGGCTCGCAATCAGAAACTCGTGTGTCACGTCGAATTAAATCCAAAGCCAATGAAGCACCAACTAAACACTACAAAACTCAATTATTTCATTTGCAGCATGTTTTTGTTCCCATTGTAAAAGCGGAATCAAAATATCTGAATCAAACGAAAGACATGGAGATGACGTCACTATTTGAGGATACAAATAATGCCGTCATTACTCACAAATTGTGGGAAACTACTACTCTAAACGTAAAAAGCCAATGATAGGATGAGTTTGACCATTAATTGTCTCTTTGGCCATTCATCATTAACTGGTTTCTATTCCAGACTTAACAAAACAAAGTCATTTCAGCTTTTGCACCAATAATGCGTCTTCAATGAGAGGACTTCCTGTTTGCATGACGTGTTTGGTAAATTAACTGCTCTGACCAAACAATAACAGCTGAGATGCCCTTCATCATGATCACTTTATTCAAGCAATAAATGGTGGGTTGACTAGCACCGCTTTATGCCTTTGCTCTTTAATCTTGTAAATCCACAGCTTCTGACAAAAGACAGAAAAGGAGCAGGGAAAGATATTGAAACACATTAAGGATTTTAAAGAGCGAAAAGGCGCCAATGAGGAGCATCAAAGGGGGGCAGAGTTTTAATGAGAATGAGTCAGCCCTAGCCTCAGTAAATGTAATAGAATACGTATGCAATTAAAGAAATGAAAAAGAGTAAAAAAATAAAAAAATACCTTTCCAAAGTAATAAGACAACAAAGAAAAAACGGCCAAAAATTTGTTTCGTATTAAAATTCAGTGGATGACTGAGGGTCATTGTGCTTTGCATTCAGTAGGAGATGCACAGGAATACTGCACATTACATAACTAAGAACAAAACCAGGCTCCTGCCTTAGCGGCACCTTGGATCGGTGTCCTCAGAGGTTCTGCAGACCAGTTTCCGTGAAACTCTGAAAGGGCAGCAAGGTCTCCGTGTATCTGTGGTATACGTGCAAGATTGTGCAGTCAAAATAGGACACACACACACACACACACACACACACACACACACACACACACACACACACACACACACACACACACACACACACACACACACACACACACACACACACACACACACACCCACCCACCCCCCTTTACTGGAACGCCAGACACAGCAGCAGGTTGGGATTGGAGACCAACACGCAGTGTTTGCTTGACCTTTGTCAACGTTAGGAATGCGTTATAAAAAAGGTTGGCGGGCGTTTTCCTGCTGTGCATTTTTTACACGCAGACCAGCCACAATACCAAAGATAATTATGCCACATGCGCTTGGAGCGAAAAAAAGATAAATAATCAAAGTGTGTAATCAACAGTAAATTAATCAAACTATTTCCATAAACAATTTGTTTATTTGCAGAACAAATGGCAAACACCTCAAACGCTTCCTTGAATTCTTAAGCTCAAAATGCAATTTTTTAAGTACAAATCAATACAAATTGTTTTATTTACCTAATCAATTTTTAGTGATCATGCCTGTGGCCCATATCCATTTCCCCATTAGATGAGGGGACACCCGCGGGTTTTGAAAGTGGTAAACGTGCCATTGCAGCCACGCTACCCGAGAGAAAACAGACTTTAATCCTCTCCTTACACTATATTTAATTGGCCCTCTTTGTAACATTTACTGTCATAAAATGACAAACACAAATCTGGAGCTCAACTTTCATTCAGGTTAATATTTGACTCTTTCCAAGAGGATACAGGGCGACGTGGCAACGGGAGTCTAAATTGTCTGGAACGTTAGCTAATTGTAGCATAAACTCTCACAATTTATACATTTAAAGTGAAATAAAAAAAGTTGTAGAAACACTGATGAATATTACACCGCTTGAAATTTCCCAAAAAGAAGTTGATCAGCAGGTGAGCAAGTTTATGGAGCCACTAAAAAGTTCAGCAGTAGAGTGAAGGGCTGCCATGAAAGGCATCAAGCAAAATGACATTTTCACCACTAATGGCACCTAAAATAATTTATAACATTTTGAGTGTTGGCACGAACCGCCTCAGTGTAAGATTCTCCACAGCAAACGTTATCCAATATCTAAACATATAAAAAGTATTACCATTCAGTGTTAAAAATGAAAAAGTCCTCAGCGAAGTGTTCAAGGATGTTTTAACTACATACCTGTTTTTAACTACAGGTACATGTATGCTGAATTAATAAACGAGCACACTTATGGGGCAGAAGAAATACGCAAGCGGTTCTTTCAACATCGGCTTCCGTAGATTCAACCTCCCTTAAAATAAATAGCAGCCACATCAGCTCCATTACGAAGCTACAAGTTGATTTTTTTTCTTGAAATGTCTCGAATGCAAAAGGCAGAGTTTGTAGTAAAAAGCTGCGGTGAGCGCGAGTCGGCCAGGTCGAGCGCTGCGGTAAATAAAGCAGATGCGGGAGGAGGATTTTTGAGTGGCCCTTTGCATTTGTGGGAGGACAAAGTGGAAATGAGGGAGAGGTGCAGACTGACAGAGGGGCATAAAGGGTTGATACATGATTACAGCGGCAGGAAAGTGTGACATCAGTCTAATAAAGGTCAGTTTGGAGAAGAGATGTCCTTTTCTATTTGTTTAGTCACCCATAAGCTGCGGCGGTTATCGGGTTCTATAAATATCAAGGGCGTGCATACATCAGCTCTCCCACGGGGGCCGCTGCGATTATTTCAAAAGGGTTTGAGGACATCATGGTGAACGCGCCCGACCGGCTAACATTAATATTAGGAGCGGTTTAGACAACAACAAATAAAAGCTTGTACCGGCTGGTTGAATAACCCGGTTATTTTCCAAGCTTTGAGGCAAAACAGGCATCCGTGCAGACAACGCTGACGGAGTTCTAACCGTCTCTAGTCTGGAATCTGCACAGCGCGACTGATCATTTAGCGACATGACGCAGCCTGCACAAAGTGGCCAGTGCTTCAGCCTGGTCCTCATTCGATTTCTCTGATGACGGGGCACTCTGGTTTGTAGTTGCTCATTAAGCAAGGACAATAAACTAGAGTGGGTTGTCATCATCGGCCCCCGTTACGGGGTTCAGACCTAGACCTGTGACAGCCAAACCGCAGTCTTATGATCCGTGTGAAATCACTAACTACCTCCTTCTGGATTTTGACTACATAGACATCTTTTTTAGTTTACATACTAGACTTTAACAGACTACCATTTACACATGTAGTCCACAAACTTTGCTCTCCCTCCTTGTTGGTTTGTTTAAGTGGTTCTCTCATGGGTGGAGTTGTTGTGACCATCCCAGATGACCTGAATAAATAAAACGATATGGTTTTAAATAGTGGACGTTTGCCAAACAAGACTTTTTCATTTGCGTCAAGCGTGATTACTGGGGCTCGCCAATAAAAATAAAAATAAACCTAATACTCCCAGTCTTTAATCTGACATAATTTAGTCTTAAAAAAGGTCTAGACTGGTTATCAGACGGGCGTAATATGAGTAAACCACATTGCAGTGGGAAGCCATCAATACGTGGCCTTTCTGGACTCTCAGCACTTCTGTGCAGTCGATAATGCTACAGCACCATTTTCAAGAAAGTGCAGCAGTCAGTAAAGCTACAGAAAGGTTATTGAGGGCCACGAGAGAAAAAAGAAAAAAAAAGGACAGAATAAAAAAAACAAGTGGATTAAACAGTGGATGATAAAATTGGTGAATCAGCAGATAACGAGGAGGTAAACGGGAGGAAGGAGAGAAACAAAAGGGAGGGGGAGGAGTTATGATTCGCAGCCTGCACATCACTGTGTAGCGCTGCCAGGGCTCGCTGTGCAAAGGACGGGGAGTAGAAATTGAAAACAAAAAGGGGAGCAACAAACCGAGAGAGATGAGGCTGGGTGAAAGAAAAGAATAATTTGAGGTCCTTCAAGAGACGATCTCTTAATGTTCTTTGCAACAATCTCAAAATGTCAAAGAAATGGAGCCCTCCGGCGCTCGCCTCACGGGTTCAACTTGATCACGTTTGGCTAGTATCTCCGTAGTTGGGAGGGTTAGGATTATCTAAAAGTAAAGGCTTACTTCAAGCTGCCCATTTGTCAGATTTCTCACTGTCACATATTCCATCATATAATAAGTATGTTTTCATACTCGATCCTACCGATGCCGATAACCTTTCAGTGGGTTTTAGCAAATTTAATGCAAAATTTTAGATGCACATTTTACTGTGATAAGCTATCAATGTGAAAGCCTTGTCAAAAGTTGCTTTTACAAACGCAGCCAAATGCTCCATTTGACGGCGTACAAGTGATGCGTCACGCGTTGGAATGAATTTACATCGTGGTCGGAGGACGACGCGTAATAAGAGCAAGATGGCGGCTTCCAGCAGGGGGAGGCGGGAATGGCCAGAGACAAGCTCCTCCTGCCTAGAGAAGTCCTCGACATCAAGACTCAACTCATTATGAACTGCAGTCAAACAGCACACCGCCCCATTAGATTAACCCCGGGGGGGGGGGGGGGATCGGCCAATAGCTCCACTAATCAGTCTTCCACTTGTACAGGGGAGGCTAAACTAGTCCGTTGATTGCAGCTTGTAAAAATGAGTGCGGTTTCCACGGTTACCCAGGGAATGAGTCTGCGTGGGATGGACGTATGTACATGGCGCCATTACGATCCCACAGTGATAATTTGAGGTAACGCAAGCAGAAAGGTGGACCGTTTTTATTTAGTCATTTTTAAAACAAAAGATTGTAGACCTATATTTTTATTCCTAGGACAGCCCACACTTTAATAAAAAGTACCCAATCTCACCTTTGTGCACTTTGTGAGACCAGTCAACACAACTAATAGGATTTCTAGATATTCTTTACTTTTTATAGTCTATATTAGGCACAGGGCTCATATGCTCATCTTAAATTGCCATTGCGCTCATTATTTATGGCCTTAATAAAGCCTTC